CTAGATTGCGCAAAATCCGGCTCTTATCAATTTCCAATTTTTTTGTTTATTGTTGTCATAGTAATATCGATTTTACTTAAAACTACGTTTTGACAAACTTCAATCCGTAGTCAATCACTGGCGAAAATTTTATAGCGATCGGAAATGGATAAAATCCCTTTTAAGGCGACTGAAAAATATCGGTATGGCCTCCGAAAAACTCTATCGAAACACCTTAATACAACTCATTATTTTTGGCAAGCGGACTTGCTACCATGGTAACGTCAAGTTGTTTTGGAGATCTGCGTTATTTTTGTATAATCGGAAATTGTTTCCAACCGCCGGTCTGCAAGTCTGGGTAACCCTCTCAGAGGGGGTCATATTTTGCATTTATTAAAGTGTTCAAGGTGGGGTAACCCGCCTAGCCTATTTCGGATTCGTGTTTACAACAAATTCGTTGACTGAACAACTAACTACCTTTAGCCGAGGCTTTGCATCATTAAAAGTGGCAATAAAAAGTCACAACACTAAAGGGAAGCAGCAAGTGCCAGAGTAGAAGAGAATTAACCGCCAACACACGTCGTTTTCTCGCCATTTTGTTTGGTTTACATGTTCGGGACATGTATAGCTACCATCTAATAATATTGAGAAAGTGCAGCCCGGGATGACGGGGTTTCAAGATTGCGTCTAAACGCGGTCATATTTTTACTCCTCCTGAGCGGGTTACGCCATCTCTCTAGGTTCCCCCAACTCCATGTAACAGGCCCTTAATTGTTTTAGTGGCGACACGGGAGTACGCTTCGAAGTATGTTTATAACAGCATGTCGAATGTGTCTCATCTTCCAGCTGTAGATCAAAGGATTGAGAGATGAATTGGAAAGCATAAGTGTAAAAACATAATACCACAAATGCTGGATCAAGGCAGTTTCATCACAGAACAGTTCGGCAAGTTTGACACAAAAAAATGGCACATAACAAGCCAAAAAGGGGAAATAGATGTAGAATGTAGCAAGTGCAGTTTTTCTCAGCCCCAGAGCATTTTTCATTTCTCTATTCTGTGCTTCTTCTTGTACTTGCAGAGCTTGGATTTGATCTGTGTGGTGTCGTACAGATGCGTATATCTTGTAGTGGAGAAATCCTGTAGTTATGAAACAAACAGCGTCTCTGGCTGCAAACATAATCCTAAGAACTTTTTTTGGAATCCAATCCAAACGAGCTGCAGGGAAAAGTAAGGAAAGAAATGCGCTGATAACCCAAATAGATATCACTACAGCAATAACACGCTTGTGAGTTACAAGTTCCTGGTACCTGAGATGAAGATGAACGGCTAAGAATCTATCAACAGTTATAGCGACAACACTAAAAAACGATGCAATTGCAAGTGTATAAGAGAAAATGGCAAATACTGCACCATAAGCATCATCGCTAGTGTTTTGTTGTATTCGAATAATGAGAAGTGCAACAAACATAGGGTGGGCAAGTAAACCAACAGCGAGATCAGAAGCAGCCAAACTCAAGAGCAATGTTTTCAAAGTCCTTGGCAACGACGACGTTTTCCTCAGCGCTTGTATTGTTATGATGTTTAACGCGATAGCGGTGTGAAACAAGAAAACGTTAAAGATGCAGTTAGTGACCAGCGTTGAATACAAACCCTTCGCTGCTCTCATTGTGAGAGGTTACAAAAAAAACTGCAATGACGTGTTAGTGCTGCCTAGGTAGAGGAAAGGCAAGGCAAAGATTCCATTTGCCTGTTTAAAGTATGTTTCTCCCTGGCACCTGCCCCACTTTGCAGTCTTCCGCTCTATTTTTTCCGTTTCGCAGTTAAATTTCTTAGCCCTTTGACTGCTTATAAAGTCTACAATAAAATATTCATTTTATCCTTATTTAAATTTGTTTTCTAACGGAACTGACCGGGCGGGGGGACTCCCATTCAGATTACCTAAGGCTACCCGGTAGGCCATGTCCTAAGTAGGGTATCGCTCATTTGGTATTGCGGTCCTTTGACGGGACCTGAGACCTAAAACTAAGTTATCTTTTTAACGGGCTATTAAAAAAAACCATTCAACAACACTTACTCCAAATTTGTATGCGCTATGAATTGTCCATGTAAACGTTTTGCATTATCGATTTTCCCTCAAACAGGGTGTCATTTTTCCTTTATGGACGTTATTTCCCTTTACAAAATAAGCCTAAAAAGCTTCGTGACACGCGCCTATCCTAAATTGGCTTAAGTACTCCCCCCGAAGATGTTATCATCTAGGCCAAGTTTTGCAGATGACGCAGAGAACACCAAACACAAATTTTAATATAAAGGGTTCTTTAGTGTCAATTCGAGCTCAAAAAGCTCATTAGACGGCACACCGCCGAAATTGGAATTTATTTCAATGCTTATTTAACTTTTTGAGAATACAATTAGCGCTGATGGTAATACAGCAGCTGGTTCTTGGTGCATCACAAATATCAACGGTAGAAAAGCAGGAACTAAACATATCATGGCCCCTCAGTCGGCATAAGGCAAAATGGATCAATAAAAACCTGTTACAACTCTTGGTTACAGTGTCATCTTTACTTACAACGAATGCCTTTTGGTCTTTTAAGGATGTTTCCCCTAATTATTTGTGCATATTCTTACTGAAAACGTGACTCATGTTGCAATGTCACAACCCGCGCACAAGCCAGCAAGCTATTACGGTAACTTAGACAGCTGTAAATGGTCGCTGACTCCGACACTGAATCATTTGCTTGCTAATTTGTGGGAGGTAAAAAATAGAATTGATCAGCAAAAACATGTCTCTGAGAACTTTTTTAGTTTTTAGTTTTTCAGTCAACACGATGTCGATTCGTCATTGATAAAAAATGAACTTCGTTACAGAGAGATGAAACATTATTGCGAAAAAGTATAATATCTCCTTTGCTGCGCGAATGCAGTGAATCGAGACAGTTTAACAACAAAAAAATAGATATGTAAATCAATAATATAATAATAATAATAATAATAATAATAATAGTAATAATAACTGAATAAAGCAATGTAAATTTAAAAAATAGTAATAATAACACAAGCACAAACAGGGACAAAAACTTTGCTAGTAGGTCTTAGTCAAAACAAGGTACATATGTATAGAACCTGATCCGACTCTCACCTGATCCAGGATGTTCATTTACAGTTTATGTTCAACAGTCCAAGTTGACGAGTTTTAACAATTTAGACCGAAATATTAACCAACTGTCAAAAAAAAATGACATGCTTTTTTAAACAATAACTGCCATTAATTCCAAAGTCTTTTTTTGTTTTAGTCATTGTTATCAAAGGTTATAACGGGAGTACGTGGGGAGTACTAAAAGTTATTTAGCTGCGTAAAAGGAAGAAGAATTACCAAGTCCTAACTGACGATTAAAGTGCTCTTCCCTTTTAGTCGTTTTATTTTATATTATCTGGTTAAAAAAATGTATGCTATCTTTCAAAGCTACAGCTGGTGTTTTTGATGTAATAGGTAGTTGTTATTGGCTGGTTGCGATCACCTGGTCTCTCGGCCCCACCATTCAGGCAATCATATACGCGTAGGGAGAGAATTCACGCGCGTGCGACTATCGCGAACCCGCGCAGGCTAATTTCAGTTCTTTAACGGCCAGTCTCCTCAAACGAACTTTCGGCTTGCATTTCCGCAAATTTATTACATACATATTACCGTTCGCGTAACAATTTTGTCGCAGCTTAACGGGATTTTTTTGTATAAACTATTGTTTCAAATGTTGACATTGTTTTGCTCTTTCTCGCCGACATTGACGTAATATATCAAACATTAGACGCAGTGTTTCATCACCAGATGAAACACCGAGAAGACAGTTGAAAATACGACGCGCAGCGGAGTATTTTTGACGAACTTCGAGGTGTTTCATCTGGTGATGAAACACTGTGTCGAATGTTTGATATTTCTTCTCAAACAAAATCATTTTTGAAGGAGAAATTAAGGATGCAAAAAGGAGCAGTTTTTCATCTGATATCCAAACACTCATTAAACATTAATTTCCTTTTAATTTTCTTTATGAATTATTAATGAGTTTGAGAAATGTATATAGAAACCCTAGCCTGCGTACTCATGGTTTAAAGGTTGACAAGTAAATTCTTCAATGGTCAGCATAATACTTTCAATACTTGGTTCAATATATAAAGAAAATCTTGAGAAACTTAGCGAATACCGAGACCTTCAATAGCCCTCTTGAATCTCTTCGCCTTCTTTTTAAAAACAGTTCGACTCTGATAACCATAGAACTATTAAAGGCTATAAATACTTCAATGGTCCGCTAGTGCTGCGTGCAACAAAGGGAATAGGAGACGTCTGCACGCAGGCAAGCCAGTGCTTGGCTCGAAATTTTAGGTAAAAGTAAAGAAAATAGTGTACAAAATACTCACGTTTCCATGTTGCTGTTTCCGTAGAATTTTGTTCCCTTTGTGAAACGGCCACACAGCTGGCGCGAAATTTGAAGTCACGAGACGCGGCCGGAGGCGGGAACAGTTAATGCGATGTTCGCGTAACCAAACAAGCCAGAGGACGGGCTGGGACAAGGGGGCAGTGTGTCGTCTAAGACGGTGATTAACGACGGGGATGGGGGTTTAATGGGGGATTTACGTTGCCTTAAAATACTCATCTTCAGAAAAAATGGTTTGAACGTTCTTTTAAAAAAGAGACAAAAATCAGCCTTCATACAAATGGTAAAGCCATTTACAAAGGGGACAGAAAATTCTTACAAAACTAAGCAGTTTTAACTTTCACGCACGTGAGTTGTTAGGACGTTGATGTTTAACATATTCCGTTACGGTACAAGAGTACTGTGATCTGTAGAAAACCGCCCGCTCCTGGCCGCAGCAAAGGATCGAGGATATTGAAAGAAAGGTAAATAGGATAAGTAGGAGACGACTAGAAAAGAAAAAGAAAAAAGTATTTACAGAAGACAAATTCTTTAATTCAGTCATGTAACCGACTTCACCCAATACGAATATAAATGTAAGGCGTTACAAAGTTAGCTACGTAACATATTTTTACAATAACTTACAAAATTGTTCCATAAACTTATAAATGTTAAGACTAGGGCTGATAGCATTCAAAGTTTAAACCACAGAACAAAAGCGAAGAAATATTTATTTTCTTCTTGGAGCTGATAGAGGGTCATAGAGACGTCTCTATTGCTGGAAAGTAAAGCTGCACAATCAACATTTATCCTTTGTGTACGTCAAGAGCTCAACGAGAAGGAGAAAAGTATTTGTACTAGTGAAAATATATGTCAGAAATTTCTTACGCTTTATGTGGTTAGTGTGAAGGAAAGTAGTACTAACACAAATGAGCCCCCACCCACACCATCAGCACTTAACCCAAATAGTGCCAGTGTCATTCTCCACACTGTTCAGTATATGTTATCTTCGGTACTGGTGAGGAGAATTTGTATAATAATCAAGAAATGTGTTACTTGCATTTCCTGTTTTCTCACAACCGTTATTTCTGGTTGAGCAGAGTTACCAAGAGGAGAAATAAAATGATCACCTATGTTAGGGGTTTTGACAAGGGTTAACTGAAGCGTTTTCAAGCCCGACCAACTGTTATGAGATGAGAGGTGATACAGGGACCTTAAATATGGTAATAGTACAATGAACGTAAATAGAAAATAAAAATACACAAAGTTACTTATTTACTTCTTTGACTGCATAGCTAACATACATTATCCGCCTTTTTAAACAAGGTGTATTTACACCCCCTATATCACTACAAATGGACGATCAAAAGAATTTAAAGCAAAATTTACAAGCTGTATGCACGTCTTCTTTAAAACTATTTTATAAATCACGGTAGCAAAACTGATGGATTGTCCTTATCCCTTTGAGAAGTCACAAGAAACAACCTCGTTCCCAGGGTTCTCTCCTACCCGTCCCTATGGAGAGAGTAGGAGATAACCTGGGATCGAGGCTGTCACAAAAAAAAGCAGCCTAATGTATACTTAGAGAAAGGAGAGAACGGCGCCTTTTTCCTGGCCACCGAGTATTTTTCAACGTTTCTTTGTACATGGTATAAGTTGAACGGATTTGTTTTTTTCTTGTGTAATACATGCACGCACAAAATAAAAATACAATTCTGCCTTTTTTCTTGAGAGGTGGCGCGTATTCGAGCGCGTCGCCTGCTTGAGGATTGTTAACAGTTGGCTGTGTATAAGATGAGGGGTTAATGTTTGGGTGGATTGCGCAGCCTCATTTGGTATGGGGGCTGATGATGTGCTTGCTGCTGCTGTGCTTGTTGCTGTTGTTGGGCTGCCTGTTGTTGCTGCTGTAGTAACTGAACAGCTGGAGCAGCAGTCCTCTGTCCCAGTGTCACAGTCGCCATCTGCTGAGGTTGCTGCGACTGCTGCTGCTGAACCTGTGCTGTAGCAAGTGAGACTACAGGCTGCGGTGCCACCTGACTTTGAACCTGCTGCTGTTGCTGCTGTTGTTGCTTCTGCTTGTGTACTGCAAGCAACTGTGCCTGAACTTGTGGCGTCATGGACTTTGCTACACTTGAAGGTGCTGAAACAGGTTGACCTGCCGGTGCACTTTGCATGGTGGTCACGTTCCCGACACCATGCTGCTGTTGTTGTTGATGCTGCTTCTGCAACGCCAGTTTTTGCAACATCTGTTGCTGGTGCTGCTGTTGAATCTGATGTCGCAGTTGTGCCTGTTGTTGAGGCGTCAAATGCGACAGCTGCTGTTTTGACAGGATCTGCTGAATCTGCTGCTGGGTGAGAGTCTGTGGAGTCTTCTTTTGGAGGATAGCAGCAGCCTGTGCCTGTTGTTGGTTTGCCATCTGCTGTCTCTGTTGAACAGAAGCTTGCTGAACTGTTCCTTGCTTAGGTATGTTGACAGCGCCAGCGGCGGTACCGGCACCTTGGTTAATTTGCCCTTGATTCACGTGCTGAATCTGAAAGCGCTTGAGTTGCTGCTGATGCTGCTGCTGTTTCATGTGATCCGCTTGTTGCCTTTTCAATTGTTGCTGCTGAATATGATGCTGTCTTATTAAAGCAACTTGCTGGGGTGTTAGCTTGACTCCGGCCTGGTTTACAAACTGCTGGGTACCCACTGGAAGACTGTGGCCTATTGACAACACAAATCAGAGAACATCATATCAGAAGGAGCAACATTTACACTTTCAATCCCAGTGGTGGCCAAGCAGTATGTGATAGACGGGGAGTGGAAGGGGGAGGGGGGTTAACTAGGGGTGCTTGTCATTTATATAAAATCACCTGGGTGGAAATCCTGTTCAGAAACATCAATCTATAAAATTCGACGCGGTGGGAGAACGAAAAGCTGTGAAGTACACCCAAATGGAATAGGGAGAACTATTTGATTTTCCAACCAGAATTTCCGGTTTTCCCATGTAAATGGTAAGCACTTTAGATCTCGTATGGAGTGACTGAGTTGATAATACGGGCACGTACGTAAACAAACCCCACACACAATACATACTTGCAGAAGCAACTGATGGAGAGGACGTCTGCTGACCAACCTATGAGAAAAAGAGGATCACCATCATTCCCATGTTTAGTCTGGGTTTTATGCATATGATTATTTTTATACTCTCACTTTGATAAATTACCATCACCGGGTAAATCACAAACTCACAGTTGACCGGGTCTCCAACTGGTTGTTGTTGTGACCAGTTATTACAAAAGCCAGGCTTTGAATACTGAACATGATTGTTACTTTTCAGAGATGTTTATAAACTGTTAAAAATTAAACCATTACTGCAATGTATTGTCTGCAGTTCACATACACGATTATTTAATGCAGTCAAATGTAATTTTAAATAAAGTAGTTAACGAGGAGCATTAGCCTTCCTTTGTGTTCAGCGGCATTTACAGATGCGCATGCAACGGGATTCCACGTGCTCATGGATCAAAGTGTGTTTGGCGTGAGCATGGGCGTTTCTTTAGTGATGGCATTGTATTAAGCTTGGAGCTCTTCCCCTTTAACTCCACAGTTTGTCAGTGTGACGGCTGCCGGCTCTCTTCTTTGTGGGTGGAGCTCATGGCTGGGTTGTGTGATAATAATAATAATAATAATAACTTTAATAGTAACATCCTCGTGAGGTTTTTCAGGAACTATTTACAAACTATTTCCAATTTATAAAAGCAAAAATAACAATAAAAACTCGAAATCACAATTTATGATGGTATTCTATTAAAATCTAACGCTTATGAAGGAAATGTCTGCCTCAATAGTGTGTCTTTCAGGGCGCTCTTGAAAGATGCCAATGAGGCACTTTGCCTAAGTTCATTATGCAAGTTATTCCATATGTAGGCCCCTCTGTAGGAAAATGTGCGCTGGCCTATAGCCGTTTTGTATAGCGGAATCTGCAAAGAGTTCCGTGTACGAGTGTTACGAGTATGTATATTTGAGCGCTTGGAAAACTTGCTCGTTAAGTATTGAGGCGCAAGATCGTTCTGACATTTAAAGGTCAAAACGGAGTCTCTATAGAATAATTGTTCTTTAACAGGAAGCCAGTTTAGCTCTCGAAGCAAAGGTGTTACGTGGTCAAACTTCCTAGAGTTTGTTACGATCTTGCTGGCAAAATTCTGAATAGATTGTAATCTGTTTATATTCTGGAGTGTAGTATTAGACCATACAGATGAGCAGTAAAGCATCTTGCTAAAGACTAATGATGTTATTAACAATTCTAGTGTTTCCTTGTCGAAGCTCCTTTTGACTCTATTTATTTGGCAAAGCTTTGCGAAACAAGATGACACTACACATGAAATATGGTGATCGTAGGTCAGATGGGGATCAATGGGAGCAGTCTCCATCTAGGAGCTGGATACCACTAGTGAAGGCTGCTGGATGTCTCAGGCACCCAACCTTCACTTGCGAGGTAGTTGCTGAAAACAAAATTATTATATAGAAGTGCTTCTTACCTGACTGACAACTGTCGATGATGATGATGCAGGTGCTAAGCTGCTGGCAGCACCAAGTGTCATTGATGTTGCAGTACCTGAGGTGGCAAGAGGGCTGCTTACTTGACTTGGCTGAGTCTGCAACACTCTTGTTGTGGATGTCGCAGCAGAAGACGCATTCTGGGAAAATAATGCACGTGGCTCATAAACCCTTTACCTTCATAAGCCAAACCCCAACCTTTGATACTTGTGTCTTTATCTACTTCACTGAACATAATCGCCTTTGCTCTTACCAAAGAGATTAACATGATATATTTTTTGATATTAGCCACTTTGATTTGTCTTTAGCCTTTTCAGCAAAGCACGAAAGAAGATAAACTCATTTACGTCTGAGTGTAAATACCGGGAAAAACTTACCTTTACACCTAAGACTAACTTTGAAAGGAGGATTTAAGGTAATACTGAAAAGCATTTTTTAGAGAAAATACTCACATGTATGGTTTTTCCACAGTGATTTTAAAACAGTACAGAGCTTTGCACTTTTCATTTACAATTTGCCAGCCGAGAATCCCCCTTCCCAAGGTGTGCCTCTTTCTTTTGAATGGGGGAGTATTCAAGCTTTTTCACCATGCACTTGAGATATCAAATTGGGCCATATATAAATTTTTAGACCATTTTTAATGACATGCCATTCAAGGAGGCTAGCCTGTGAAGCAGTCGTTTCCACTTCCTCTTAGCCAAGCGAGAGAAGTGCGAGAGATTGATCCCTTCCCTACCTGGGCTTCTCCTGTGATTCTTCCACGTGGCTAAAAGGAAGCGGAAACGACTGCTATGTAGGCTATCAGTAGACCTACTTCTGCTCACACTGTTTGTGCTGATTGTCTGACCCACCACTCCCTGATGTGAAAATACAACATTATGAAAAGCAATTTCTGGTCCGTCAGTGAGCTACCTTCCTTTATTAGAGTCTTCCAGATGGTACAGACTGCATCACTCCTATTGAAAAACTCTCAACACCCTTTTCCAAACCTTATGAGATTCTAAGTCCTCACCAAACAACTTTTGGTACTTACAGTTTGAACTTGAACCAAAGTTTTCGCTTGCATCCTCTTGTTAATTGTTGCAAAGGAGGATGATGCCATGGAACTGAGGCCTGTAGCATTACCCTTGTGTGTGTTGACTACAATACTCGACCCACTGCCTGTTGGTACTGCCTGTCCACTCAGCACTATACCAGCAGCTGCCAATCAAACAAGTTTGAGTAACTGGTAAATTCTTGCTCACACACTTGTTTTAACTTAAAAACCATCAATGCAATGTATAATGATTAGAAATAGACTAATCTTGCTGGGTATATAGCACTGATGTAGAATTCTCTTTAAGACTTAAGTTGTCTGATTAGACACTTCTGACAAAATAAAGCACTAGCCGTCTAAGTTTTGAACTACCCATTTACCTGAAGTCTTCAATAAAGTCGATGCAGCTGTGGTTCCAGCTGCACTTTGAAGTGTTGCACTTTTCTGAAGAGCTGCCATCGCCTAAAAAAATTGATGGTGACACATTATTTTGATGTAATCATTGTACAGGGTTGCCACCCACCACCTCTTCAAAATGTGCTGCCCAATCGTAATTTTACAGGTGAAGTTCTCTTTTGCCAACACTAAACAATACATTTCTAGCACAAACTTAACATTTTTGTTGACTGTTTTCTTAGTATAAAAATAAAGTATTATTCTTGAAACCTCTGTGATGATGCAGTTCAAACAAAAGGTACCGGTATTCATTATTTGTCATTACGACTGCAGTGGCAGTATTGTTGTACTACACAGTATCTGACTTGGGTATTGCTAAAGCAAGTGGGGAGGGTTTTGTTTTGTTCCATGCCCTAGGGCTAGTAGGAGGGGCACTTCATTTTTTTCTAGTACCCTGCGAGGGTCATACAATCTCAAGAATTTTTCTTTAGATCTCTAACTCCACCCCTGGCTCATTTATACACTCCATAAAGACAACAACAATAGACTCACAGCAGCAGATGTTGAGTTCAGTTGACTGGTGGTTGTAAGTTTTTGAGCAGGGAGCTGCACAGTAGTGGTTGGCATTTGCTTTGCTGCAGGTGGTTGTTGGGAAACTTGGGCTGCCTGTGGTTGTTGAAGTTGAGATTGTGCTGCCACTTGTGGATTTTGGTGTTGCTGTTGACTTTGTTGTTGTTGTTGCTGCTGCTGCTGCTGCTGCTGCTGTTGTAACTAATGCAAAACAATGCAAGTAAGATGAATGCAGGGTTATTTTTTTGGCAAAAAAATAGGTATCATGAACAGAACTGTATTGATCTGTTGAAGCACTGCCTCAAAATAACTGCACAATTGTTGTAAGAATGGCCGTTAGGTTCAACTTCAGGCAAGCACTACATCTGTTGGAACTATGGATGATACACTTCACAAAGTAAAAGGGGAATTAAAATGCCATGATTTAAAGTACATCAACAATAACTCCACTTTAACGCATCATTTTCTTTCCTTGCTTTAAAATACAGTAAAGTACGATGAAGATCCTGGTATAACGTAAAATAACCATCTCAATGATAAAATTATAGTAAAATATGAGGGATAGGACCCCAAATATAAAAGTGCAGTTTTCTCTCACCACAGCACTCTGTGCAGCCGCCTTTTCTCTCGCAATCCTTTCTGCCTTCTGCGTAGCTAGCTGAACTGGGTTTAAAGTCTTTTCTTCAGAAATTCCACTACAAAAGATAATGTTTCATTTATGGGTAGCATATTAACGAATTAACCAAGATAATACAGCCACAACAGGTTTGTATGGAACTTTAAAACCTGACATCAAAGATACTAGTGCAGTGCTCTACTAGTTCAGCTAACAAGCCAGCTAGGGGCAGGTCATTGAACTGGTTCATTACAATCCCATGAAAGGATGAACTACTTCCAGTTGACTTGTCCTGTACCCGGGGAGGGGTACTTTAGAAATTTGTGGGTGGGTCTGAGCCGCTGGAACCCTGGAACCCTTAACCTATACCAGAGCTAGTTCAGCTAAATTTTGCTACCCTATACTAGAGTAAACTATCCTTATCCCCCCTATCCTAGAGTAGCTGTTTTCCAGAAACTACTGAGGTCACTAGCACAGTCTAGCCAAAACAAAACCTTACACCACAATCCCTAGTCTAGATAAAATCTTCAACCGACTGATTTCCTGAAAAATAATACCCATACCCTATCCTAGAGTAAACTGCTTGAAAACCATACCGTTCACAGCGGCACATACCTATATAGCCCATATGTGGCAGTACCCCCTGTACAAGCCTAAATTTAACAAGCTTGCTTTTCACAACTGCAAAAGTTGCGTCTATAAATGTGATGTACATCTTCCATTTAATTCTTCATCCCACAGTTCTTAAGTAAGGTTTTCAGCTCATTTTTTCGACAATAAATGTGTTGAGTATCTCACCTTGCTACCAACACAGCTGAGTGCTTGAAATTTTTCATCTGAGGATCAACCAACCTTGAAAATGAACAACAGCATCACCTCAACAAGGAAAATATAGAAATCTTGGAAGGGAATTCAAGAGAAGAAATGCACCTTCAGTGATGAAAACAATAATTAAATTACATTGTAATTTGGTTTTAAAAAATCATAAAATGCTGTACTTAGTGACAGCTTCCACTTAACTGAGTTCAAAACAAATGAAAATGATGCTTATGCCGGTTGAAGAATCAAGTAATTCTCTTAACCCTTCTATTCTCGAGTCTGAAAAAAAATCCTGTGATGTGTTCATTGAAATTAAGTCTCCTGAGCATTACTTTCACATGGCACTTTTTACCATTATTTTTTTCCTTTCTCAATTTTATTACAAAATTTGGGTGTTTCTTTGTGTTGTGGAAACTATTGTTAGTCGTTTATGTTTTTTGGTGCAGCTGTTGCTCTGTAGCCTCCCAGCAGACGTTCTTAGGGGTTCATCACACGTTCCTGCCATTTTGAATTCTTCTCAAATAAATGACATACTTCATAGTGGATATGATCTACAATTTATTTTAAAGGTTCTCACATTTGCTTGAGGGTGGGCTTTCTCTTCTGTGAAGTCTTTTTGACAAGTTCAAACATAGATGACCGTACAACAGTGGGAGAACGACCAGCATCTTGCGCTAAGATATGATGGGTCTTGAAAGGCCTGCCACTTGTTCCCTTCACCTGAATTATAAAACAAATTACTTAACTAAACCACAGTCTTAAGCACTATCTTCATCCTTGAAGTAGCTCAAAAGCCAATATAAATAGTGCTAACCACTTCTTATTGGCCTGTTAAAATCACTTCTAGCTAACTACAGTTGAACCTTCCGTAAGCGACCACCCAAAATGTGGACATTAATTGGACGTTTAAGGCAGGTGGTTGCTTACAAGAATCAAACTACAGAAGTCTGTTACCAGAAGAGCTCCCAAGGTACTTACTTTAACGAAGATAATTTTTTTTATTACATGCAATTTCTAAGTTACGATATGTTGTCACTAAAAGTTCTTTGTAGACTCTTGGTAGTGTAGTACATACTGTGAACATAGATATCACACCATGGGTCAGATGGTCGCCTACAAGAGGTTAAAAACAATGAAAAATTATAAAACCATCACCCCAAACTGAGGTCGTCGTTGCTTACCAGAGGTGGTCATTCACAAGAGATTCTACCCACAGGGCTTTGACTAGGAAAATTTGGGGGTTTTGGGTAGATGGTCGCACATGAAGGTTTGACTGTGTCTGTAACTCTACATACCTTGATAGGTAAATGGTGAGGCTGGGTAAGATAAGGTTGTGGGAATGCCTTGTACTTTGTCTTTAATTTCTTCAAATTTTCCTCCACTCCAGGCTAATGGTTCAGAAGAAATACAGACGGTTTTACTGTTTAACTCAAAAAAACCCTAACACCTGAAAATTTTCAGGAATGTTGATTGTGTAGAGACCAATCACAATAAAGACCAGGACATGCGAGCAAACCTCAAAACCACAAATTATTTACAGTTGCTATTTGCATTTTCGGTTTTGTGAGTTTCACAGTAAAAACATATCACATAGGGCATATTAGTAGGAGTATTATTTTGCTTTTCTTCAAATTTATGCCATACAGTTCAATACAAATTTATGCATTTTTGAACACTTAAAATATTATTCTAACAATCAGAAATAAAATAGCATTGAAATTCTCACCAAAGGAAGTTTTCCTTCCTCCCTGGGAATGATTATGTTCAAGTAGCGATCTCTGCACTATTAAACAGTAAGAATCATAATATCATTTTAATTACAAATTGACCACACACACCAAAAAAACTGTCTCAAAGACAGGGATTAAAATAATGACTCTCATCAAAAAAGGAAAAATCGGGCACACAAGAATACAAAGAGCACACAAGACTTTTAACTAGAAAACTTGGGACATAGCACTGATTGTTTCGGTATAACACAAAATTCATGCATGATTTAATGACGACTAATTACATGACGTAACATTCATTGATTAGTGAGATCATTACAACTAGTTGCGAAACTTGAGAAACACCAACGCGTATGTGAATATTATTCTTATTTGCGGTTTGTTTTAACATTTCTTGACTGATTGTGATTTCTATTGATATCTGCATGTAGATTTCGAATTTATCTTCTGTATCTCTGTACATTTTGGATGAAATAAACCATGTGCAGTATTTGACATCTTAGTGACTCGAAGCTAGCAGTATACTTATTAAAGTTGCATTATTTTTATTTTTGTTATATACCACTGTATTGTATTTCTCACACAGAATTTCAGTTTCAGCACCTCAGCAAGGAGTTAACTCTATCTTTCCAAGAGTACCAAAACTGACGAAAAAATTTCCAGTGAGTACAAAAAATAAAAACAAACAGTACTATGATGTGCTGAAGTGAAAATGTTATTATTTGAAGGTAACATCACTGTATTTACATGATTTACTTCACACACTCAAAAGTCTAAAACACTGGAACTACATTACAGTTATCCATAATTGAATAAAAAGGCTTAACCCTGTAAGTCCCACAAGTGACCAAAATCAATTTTCTTCTAACAATATCATTACATAATCAGGGCTGTCAAAACGTTTTTAAGTAGCAGGCTGATAATGATTAGTAGGCATCTTGAGGGCCGAGTCATGTAGGGACATATTTCAATTTCGAGTCTCCGGAAATGGTATTTCCAGGGATTTCCAAGAGGTATTATTTTTCCAGTGCCGACACCATGTTGTCTTGTCAGAATTCAAGCTAGACTCGGAACAATGCAGTCGAAATGTCCCACGCGTTCCACCACATCGAACAGTTCGAACGTTTCACAGACCTAAACCAGTTTAAATATGCATTCAATGTCATTCAAAACTAGGAAACAGATGCTTTACAGTACTTTAAACGATGGTGCTTATTTTTTTTAGCAGTTATTGGTAGAAGGAGAGGAAAGTAAACAGATAAGGATGGCTAAGTAGCGGGGAGTTTTGGCCCGCTACCGGCCCTTATTGACAGCCCTGCATAATGAAGAGGAAATGTTGCAAAAATTAATAAATTGATCAAGTGACAGAAAATGCTTTGATCTTCAAACAAATTCTCTCAACTAAGTGTTAAGGAAATGTATGGAGATTGGTCTGGAGAATTTGTATTTGGATATTGGAGTTTAAAGTGTTAAGAAATAAGTATAGGATAGTACAATACCTGGCGTACTGAACGGAATGTTCTGCTGGTAAGATTGACAATGTTGCAGACAATGTCCCAGTTGGGTGTTTGGCTGGGCACATTAACAGCAAGATCAACTGGCAATTCTTGAAGTGAGTTAACAGCCTAAAATACAAACTTTTCTTTAGTACTCCATGCAACAGTTTAAGGGTAGTTTGCTTGTTTTTAATAAGGTACCATTGGTTTTAAAGTCAAGTTTAAGTATAGGCACAAGGACTTTGTGCTTATGGCACTGGCAAAAATTCTTGGGGTAAAGATTAACTTATGGGATTTGCCAGAATAAGTGACACACTCTTGAGCAAAAATACTAGCAAAAGCTGCCCTTGAATAAGCCTTGTTTTCTTCCAGCAACAGTGCGGTGTTGCCGATTGCCTCTGTCTTTTTAAATGTTTTGTTAATGCTCATATCTCTGATTAGAAGAGTGAAACAGACCCTAAATGACATTTTTTGTTACATTTCTTTAGCTGTTCTTATTGTTTTTAAAAACAAAGGGAAATAATAATTATGTAGTACCATGTTATTCACAAATGAGAGAATTGATGTACATGTAAGTGCGACACCAAGAAGACCAAAGAAACTTTATCAGTGCTTATTTGAGTACACAGACTGCTTATACCTACATATTATGTGAAAGAGAGGTTTACTACTGTGAGTCTTTGCAACTTTGAGACCAAAACTATCTTTGAGTATTCTTATAGTCACAAACCTGTAATAAAGCCCAGTCTTCATGGATCAACCATTCTGGAATTCCTGCACCCTGCAGAGAAATTATTTACTCATATTAAACAAACTACACATGATGAGCAGTGAATTACATCTCTGAATTTTTCTTCACTGTATAACTCCACAACTTTATAACAGACATCTCAAGATGAAGAAGGAAATTTGTATCCACTATATAATTATGTTAGCAATAACATGATAACAAACCTGTGAATAATCTGCCTGTTTGACAATACTAGGGGCAGCTGGCTGTTTGATCTGCTTCATCTTGGACTTCTTACTTAATGAGTTACGGCGACCTCTAGCAAATGGATCAAATCCATTCCTATCAAACACTGACGTGGGACGGCTGACTCGATCTCTGTGCAACAAGAAAATAAATAAGTCAAGTATATGTTGGAGGCACCAGGTGCCAATTGCACAGAACATAACATCAGAAATAACTGCTAACGTCTAGCTCTGAAATACAGAGTTTGACTGGGGTGAAGCTACAATCAAGGACACCTAACTTTGGTCACACAGCTCTTGTACCACCCTTTCTCCCTTAGAAAGTTGTTTAGTGATGGTTTATCGGTAGATTGGTCAAATTTTGAGGCCAAAATTGAAAGGGAGAGGGAAAAGGATGTCCAGCACAATATGTCAACGTTAGTAATATCAATTGACCCAAGTTCTAATGTCACAAATTGTAGGATGTTAGCTACTAGGTGAAGGTCCCATTAAAATGGCCCCAATTTAAAATACAAACTTCTTTTCTGAGCCAATAACAGCAGCAAACTTACTTTGCAGATCCTTGAAGTTGATCCCTGAAGTAAACAACAGACTTGTAAACTGTTCTCTTTCCTGTTTGATGAGGTTTTGTCAAATACATTGGTGGAAGACGATTGGCTACCATAGGAGCGCTCTCATATAGGTATCCCAAGGTAGGATCGACATACAACTCATCTTGTCCATCCCGGGGAGGAGTCGGTGGGGTCCAAATCTACAAAAAATGGAATTGATGGTTACAATAATGTTGCTACATTCATACATTTCTTGAATTAGAGACTATTTGGACTACAGAATGAGACTGAAGTAGAGTATCTATCACTAAGTTAGAATACAACTTAAGTGTTGTTTCCGAGCTCTGGCAAAGATGTGTTGAAGAAAATTTCCTGCCTCACAGCAATTTAGGCTGTTGTATCAAGTTGATTCAAGTTCAATATTATGGTACATGACTATGAGGTCAGACAAGCCCCACTGTCAGTTACTACGATTCAATAACTCTTCTTAAACCTGTAGGTTAAAGGTAGGGTACCAAGCAAGACCAGGGCTCTTTTGACAATATGTAAAAAAATATTGTTGAAGAAAAAAAAAATTTTGAATTATTCTCAATTTGAAATAGCAACCTTGATCAGGAGAGGATGAACGTAAAAAGAAAAATATGTTGCCTGAGCAATATTTTGGGTATCAAAAAGTAATGCAGGAAATTAATAAGTAACTTGTTCGATTTAATGATGTGCAAGCTTGACATTCCTTGTAATTGAAAGTTAATAATTGATTTTATGAGAATGAGCAAATGTATGAATTTGTTCTTTATGAGCTAAGTCTGGTTCTCAGAAGTTAGTGTTCAGTAGTGCAGAACTTTAAACTTTGAAATGCAAACAAATCCAAATATGAAAGTTTTTGAAGGTGGTACCGAGCCCTAGCCTGCCATCACAGATGTAATCTAACCCCCAGTTAGCAACGTCCGTGAAGTAGTGCTGATATCCTTGTTCTGGGCCCCAAAAGGACTCAACAAATTACAGGAAAGGCATTTTAAATTTCCCTTCAAGTTGATTGGCAGATTGACAATGGCTTTTTTTCAAGGCTAATCATAGCACTTACTAAAATCCTGGTACACAGGTGGGGGTCTAGTAAAAGGATTTTGGCGCTGTTTTGCAGACAGACTCGACCAGACTGCTTCACATCTGTTTGGCTCAAACAGCTTAAAATTAAAAAAAAAAAAAAACAGTGGCCACTAACCGGCATTTCCTCCCCAGTAACATCATTCACATACACCTAAAGAGAAAACATTTACTTATGAGTTTCTATTTATTAAAATATGGCCTTACAACATGTATATGTTGTTGTAAAATTTTATCCTTGCTTTAAATTTTTTTCCTTGTTTTAGACTCATCATTACACATAACCATACCCCAAAACAAAGGGAAACAAAATTTAAACCAAGGATAAAATTGAACTACAACATATATATCCCTAAGTGTCCCTAACATGGACTTCTAGTATTGAATTCTGATTTTCATTCATGCTCTCTTAAGGGTGGCAACCTGCCCAAAATAGATGTCAAAGAGGTCTGTCTTTGCAAGAGTTAACTGCACTGGCTACTTAAAAGTTGTAAACAGATGTTTAACAAGAGGCAACCACAGCAAAAAGTGGTTTCACTGATGTCCAAATTATTTAATTCAGAACATGATCCACTAATGGTAATGATCAGGATTGTCCCCTATGAAGCTAGTTTTTCTTTTCTGTTATGTACAGGGTTCTTACAGATTATTGGATCCAAAATTCCAGACTTTATTCCAAAAAAAAATTTCTTTTTTATAGACTCAAGGTTAACAAACAGGTAATCAATAGAGAGTGGGTGGGTGGGGGAGTGAAACACAAAAGTTTGGTTTTGTCAACCGAGGTGATAAAATAAACTTACCCCTGTAAAATGATTGAAAAACTGACCTTTTGAGTGCTGGTTCTTCGTCACAGCAATTTTAAGCACTCTAATGAAGGCAAGTGCTTGAAAGACCTATTTTCTAATTTCATTTTCTCTTTAGTTTTTTTTTTCTCTTTGTGATGTAAGGATATTGTAGGAAAAGTTGATGTTGATCACTATGAGACGTAAAGGGTTAACAGTGGTAAAATGACTTCCCGGAACCAAATTTTTGTAATATCAATTCACCACTTAAAAATGGGAAGGAAATCAGACTGAGTTAGATTTTACAAGGACTTCTGGGATTGTTACTGCAGAAGCGCCTGTCAGCTATTGGCAATTATTTTCCCTGTCCTGAGGAACAGTCCCAGAAGTCCTTGCGAACATTAACTCAGCCCAGTTTCCTTCTCGAATAATGCACGTCTCGTAGCTTTGATAGAAAATGCACAGGAAACCCAAAGGGAGGCTCTGAATGGCTGTTCAGCAAGTCTAGTTCAAAGTGCCTTGAAATGCCTGTCATTTTTAAAACCTTCTCTTGATTGTTTGGATGGCGTAGGCTAGCATGTCCAAAACCATAGCAAAATGGACCCCTTCCTCGTTTCTTAACATACAAAAAGAAAACAAAATAGAAAGGAAAAAAGCACAAAAGTACAGAAAGTGGGAAGCCATAGTGAGGTGAAGCATCCAAGAGCACAGTAAAAATTAAGTATTCAAGTGAGACAACAGCAACAATTGTGATTACTCAAAAAAGAATTATAATGTAGTCATTACAAATCACAAAACAGATTAAAGAGTAAGAATATTGCTTACGTGTTTGTTTAAATGCAGATAAATGATAAGACGGGTACAGTAAAGAAACGAAAAATAAACAGATGTAAGAGAAGAATGGTATGTTATAAGTCCTGGCCAGCCAAACCACCATCAAACACCATTTTTTTGACCAGCAACAGATTGAATTTTAGTTAGTTCAAGACCACTTTGGTCACCATTGTTGGCGATGCTAACGCTGTACAGCCATCCAAAGCTACTGGCACACAAAACTAACAGGCAGAATCATAATAGTGCCTATTAGTTCAGCTGTCAATCAAGAGAAGATACAACAATGACAAACACAACGACTGTTACTTCTCAAACTGTTTATTTTTAAGTCTGTTACACTTTTTTAAAACAAAAGTGCCCAAATTACATAATTTTTTTTTCTGGCCCAATCTTTATACATTCAATTCAGAGCAACATTCATTTCATTAAACGCTTTCTATAAATAAATGACTTCACTGCATTTAGTGATAAATTTCATACAAAATTTTTTATGTGCAATTTAACTTTGAAGGATTGACTATCACAAAACACCTACATTGTACAATTTTTTCCAAAAATGCGATAAGACCTTATGCATTATCTGTTTCTCCATATTTCAGTAACTGAATAAACAAGAAACCAAAGCACCAATTCAGCTTGACAAACAGTATATCAAGTCAAAACATTTTTTAAACCTAAAAGCTAATTTTCATCAGGAAACTTAGTTCTTCTGGTGACTCGTTTAGAGCTACTACAGCTACTGCTTCTACTACTAGCTTGGGAGGAAGCGCGGCTGGTACTACGACTATTCCTGACAGCCACCGGAGCCTCCTTGGAAGTTACCTTGGGTTCACTGAGTTTTTTTGTTTGTTTCGAACTTAGGGATTTTTTACTTGAGCATCGACTGTTAGGTCTAGATCTGCGTTTTGACTTATTCTTTTTAACCTGAAGAGCATTCTCGCGGGAGTAAGTGTAGAGTATCTCATCTTCTTCTTCAGCAGCGCGCTTCTCTTCTTCTTTCTTCAGTGCTTGAAGGTGACCAAGCTCCCAGTCTTTTTTAGCCATCTCAACTTCATCCTATGAAGAACAAAGAATAGAAGTTCAATCACATGAAACTAGCGTAGAGGGTAAGGGCTTCAGTTGCTTTGATACAACAAACACAACATTTGTCTCCTTCATGGGGACTTCAGAAACATTTGGTGCTTTTCTGAAGCTTGTAAGAAGGAAAGTTTTAATCTTGCTGAGGTCATGACCCAAACAAAGAGTGAAGACCTTGTCAGGCATTGGAAATTCAGCATAGCCATCAGCATAAAAGTGTAAAAACAACCAGCATTTAGCACACCTTAGCTGCTTTTATTTGCTCCAGTGTGATGTATGCACCAGAGGACTCAAGGAATCGAATTGCATATCTTTCCACAGGAGTCATCTGAAAATACAAAATCAGAATATAACTACCAAATAAGAAAAAAGCAGAATAGACTGTAGCAGTGAAATATTTGAGAATTTCAAGTCAAGACAGGAACAGTAGAATACCTGGCCTTCCAAGGCAGAAAGCTCCTCCTCAACTTTAGATATTTCTTCCCTTTGTGCATCCTGTTACAATATAAGCAAACAAAAAGTAGTAACTATAAATGAAACACAAACAAACAAACAAAACTCCATCTGGAAATCGTTGATACTTTAATAAATACATAAAGTAACTCAAAACAGCATCAATACACAGGGAAACGTAGCTGCCCAGCACACCATATACTCTAGTTATATGTCAAAGGAAAAAAAAAAAACGTTGCAAAGGCTGGTGAGCACATTTTCACTTAAGCAAGTGAACTTTGCAACTTTTCAGGGGTGAATAGCAGTGAAGTACCATATACACCACAGTCACACTGAAACCATCACCAATGGAGTCATGGTCAAGTTGGGTTCTGACTCTTCCAAGTAATAATAAGATCAAGAGGGCATGTGGAAGAGAGATGAGCTGATTTCTTCACCGATTCTGGACATTGCAGTGGCTGGTACCTACCTTTCCAGATCCATCTTCACTCAGTGGGATTCCCTCATCAAATTCTGCCAACTCAGCAGCTTGTTCTGCCTTGGCACGAGTAGCAGCACATGCATCCTGCTCATCTTCAGCTTTGAATAATGCCTACAAAATGTAACAAGAGTGCAATAGAGAAAACCTTGGTTTAATTCTCTTTGCATTCAATAAATAAATTTGAGGGGTCTGACAGATTAAATATCAGCTCAGAACTTCTGTAATATCAAGGTCATTCAAAAACACGGACCTTTGAAGTTTGAAACTCATCATATGCTGACAAGGAATGGAGACCATTACTAACACTTTTGATAGCAGTTAATTCACAAAATAATATTGATAATAAAAATTAAACAATTTGAGTATGTTGAGAAACTCCTACTGTATCCAAATGAAAACTGCGACATGACAGAAAAATTATATTTTCACCCACACAGGTAACACTTAAGGTTGTTTGCAAATATTTGTATAAAACAAGGCTGTTCTCTAAGAAAAATTGAAGGGAGCCCAGTGCCCTGAACCTGTGAAATCCAGGGTGCCATGCAAAGGATTTCTATGTAAAAACTAAGATTTCCTAGTCACTTAAGAGCAAAGTAAGGTGGTGCTAGAGCACAGCCCTGTAAAATTAAAGAGGAAAGAAAAACGAAAAGAAACACCATTGTAAGCCTGCGCCACTCCTAGCTTATTTATTTTTTTGGTACTCTATAAATGAAAATAATAACAGATTTTCCTTGACTTCTGATATGCATGGACTTAAAAGTGTTTCTTAATTGTGTCCGGGAAAAAACATGGAAGAGTGAGGACCTCAATGAAAGCTACTAAATTGAGCCAATATCTAGTTTTATTGTACGACTGAATCTGTGCATGGGCAAGATGAGGTGAATTCTGCGTTCTGATTGAATGTGGTCAATATCTAGCCATCTTTACATCAAGCTTGGTTAATAGCGCACATTAAGCATTATTTCAATCGCTCTTAAGGCAGAAAAGGTTTTGCTCCAAAGGCAGTCATACCTGTTCCAGTAAATTCTGAGATACTTTTCCACCCGCAGGTTTTTCACTATTGACTTCGGCACTATCATCAGTGCCAGCTGTCTCTGGTTCTTCAGGCAATTCTTCTTCTGTTTCAGGTTCCTTAACAGCTTCAGCCTTTGGTTGAACAACGGAAGTTTCTGGCTCAATTGTGAAGAGATCTTTTAGCGTTCCCTGTGAATGTAACATATAACTAGATTAGAATTTAAAAAAAAGTGCACACTGATGAAAAAGACGGCTGGAGGAGTAGCAAAGTTAAGTCGATTGAGTTATGGTTAACATTATGCTGATAAGTAGACGAATGTATAATACACAAACGTGTCACACTATGGTGCTATACACATATGTTCAAGTCCATGACTAAAAAAAACAGAAGGCACTATTTCTGAAGACGACTAATTGTAATCTTGTTTTTTGAATCATGGTTATAAAAATGTGACATCAATTCTGATGACTGCATGGTCAGTTATTTTGAATGTCATCTAAAACTTTAAACTTGACCTGCTTAAACAATTTTTCTCCCTGTTCTTGTCACATACATTATCTTCAAGAAAGTTAAAATCAATCAATCAATCAATCAATCAATAATCTTTATTTACACACAATAAGTATTTAAAGCAATGCTTCGCTTGTGGGGTCGTGTCTAAATAATTAAATAAGATAACTAATGAATTAGAAAATAAATAGGATATACACCAGCTAAAATCATATAGCTACTTACAAGTCTAAAACGATAAAAGCTTAAGATTCTAAAGTACAAGGTGGTACTCTAGTATCGACTAATTATTAACACTAATTATACTTAAAACCTTCCTCCCTTCTGGTCAATGTTTGAGGGGAGATACAGTCGAAATCTAGGTGGAACAGAGCCTTTGACCGTCTTGCCATAATCGCATATTTCTTAACATTGTCTATATCGTCATTAAGTTGAGGAACCAACGTGTTCCAAACTATTGCTCCTCTACGAGCTACAAAGTTCCTCATGTAGTTGGTGTTAAAACGAGGGACATCAATTTTCAGTTTCTTCCTAAGTTGATATCGCTTGATGTTATCATTGTTCTTAATAATAGCTGACATAGCGTCTCGAGTCAGGTTATTGTGGATTTTATACATAAGCTTAGCAAAGCTAATTTTATACATAAAGGCTAAAGAAGACCAATTAGCCTTTTTCATAACATCTGCATTAGATATCTCTCAAGGTAACTCTAGGATAATTCTCGCAGCTCTACCATGCAGTGCTTCTAATGCCTTAAAACCTTCCTTATTTGTGAGGCCTCCCCATACTGATATACCATATACCATCGACGGCATAATAACTCTAAATGATCATCAACAGGCTGGAGAGAGGACAGAGAGGTTCAACAGGAGCAACTCACCTCTTTGAAGTATGCTGTTGTAAAGTTTCCTCCCTCAATAGCAATGTTACCCAACATTCGTTTCTGGTTTGCCTTTTTCAGGATATTTTCCTCCACAGTACGCTCACTGATGAGTCGGTAGATGTGGACATCTCTTGTCTGACCAATACGATGACATCTGTCCTGTGCTTGGGCATCCATGGTGGGATTCCAGTCACTGTCATAGAATATCACAGTGTCAGCTCCTGTTAGGTTCACTCCCAGACCACCACTGCGTGTGGACAGGATGAAACAGAAGATGCGTGAATCTGCATTGAATCTCTCCATCAACACCTAACAGGAAGAATAAATCCAAACAATTATTAGTTTGATACTTCTTTGTACTTGATAGTTCTCCCATAAAAGATGTTAGCGAGCTCAAGCAAAGATGTTTCAGGGCGATGCGATGAAAGTCAAGTGGAAGAGACTCCTTTCCCTTTTTATGTGCCTTCAGCTACCAATCTGTATTGCAGCTGTCTTAAATCTGACAGAGACGATTTGCCCAAAAATTTGGGCAAAAACACAACCCAAGAATGCAAAAAGTCGGTTTCTGATTGATGGCATTGTTCAAAAATGTCTTTGCTTAAACTCCCAAAATTTAGTTACTATTAATTTTATTAATTTTATCTTGAAAAGATATTCTGTTAAAACAAACTAGCATTACATGTTGTCCCATTAGCCCTACGCTATTTGATAATATTTTCAACTCACCTGGCACCAATATCTTATACTCATCCAAAAAAACATTTTTACCAATACAGTAGAAAATTGTTGCACAGTGAGAAAGTTCCCCTTATTTAGGGTCTCATACCAAGTAACAATAACATTATAGCCAAATTGTTGCATAGTGAGTAAGTTGTCCTTATTTAAGCTCAAGCACACCCAGTTACATTGTAATAAATTGCCAAGAAAGAAAGACCAAGTGACTTTTGATTAACTGCTAAATTCTCCTTCCAGTTTCCCTTTTGTATGCTTGCAAACCAAAGGGAGAATTTCAAATATATACATATATCTCAGCAGTGACTTAGGGCTTTTTTCTGCACATGCCTAGATTTACTCAAGACCAAATAAATTATTGTTGACTGACAGTAAGCAGAGATGTTCACTTGTTTCACACCTGCCTGCTAATCAGACAAACTTTTTCTCTTCTTCCATAAAAAGATCCAGTTAGCAACCATGTTCATGCTAATGAATATAACAACTTTTGTCTTCATGGAAGTACAATTTTTAATATAAATAACCAAAAAATACAGCTAGGATTTAACTCTCAGAGCTGTCACTTCAACTTGCTGGATATATGAAATATTGGTGGGCAAGGAAATGAACAGCCAGGAAGCTCTAGATCTTGGTTGTATTTTCCTCCTGTTTGCAAGTAGCTGGGGCCATGCTCAGAGTAGCTGATGAAATGCCTAGGTACTGGACCATAAACGACGGGCCTGGTTCCCCCTAAGTTTGCCCAGTAAGTTCAAAGACACCTGCGGCTCCAACAAATACATCGAACTACATGCACTGTAACAATGCAAAATTATTTGGGCAAACAAACAATAATATTGAAACACAAAATTTCACTGTATCTTTACCTGTCTCTGTTCCACTCTTGTGGTACCGTCCAGTCTCAGGTAGATGTAACCATGGTAGTTTAGAAAACTTTCTAACACATCAAGCATCTTGGTCATTTGAGTGAAGATAAGCACCCTTACAGAAAATTTGAAGAAGTCTTAAACTAATGCCGGCTAAACACGTTTAATCAAACAAGGTTTTAAGAAATGAAAAAGCAGACATGGAAAACTGGGGCACAGGTCTTTTTTTTTTACACAGAGTTCAAAGAAAATTCCAAAATTGCATGTAGGTTTATCCCAGCTGTTTCTTCATACTCAGCTGATCTATTTTTTGCAGTATAAATATAGTATTTATTAAAATGTTTTGAAATTTGCACTAAACTTGCAATCAACTTAAGTCAGAAGACAGCTTTTACGAAGGAAAGAAGTTTAAACCGTGTTAAACTGAACAGCTTTTAAACATGTTCAAGCTTTGGTGTGAACAGGGCCTAACAGTTCACATGATGAAACGCAGTGGAAGAAAGGACATTCAAGTGAAAATATGCATCCAGGCAAATTTCAAAGGACTGGCACAATTTACTTTACTACCTATATGAGAACTTTTCCCTGGCATTTCAAAGACTACGGGGAAAGTACTGATATGTGATCTGTTTCACAACAGCTCATACCAGTTGCATTTTTAAAAAATAAGTGTCTAATTAAGTGATAAAATTCTTGGAAAACTTTGACAGGGAACTTTTAGACAGCAATAATCCATGTTGCAGAATTTGAAGAAGCTTGTTCCTTTGATATCAGAGAATACGTCCTCACTCTTACCTGTGTTTTTCAGCTTTTAGTCTTCTCAAGAGAAGGTCAAGAGTTTGTAGCTTGCCTGCATTAAAACAGATAAATAAGTACACAAGTTTGTTTATAGTTCAACTTACAAGTACACATTAAAGGGAGGTTGAAGCAAAACCAAAACACGTTGTTTTATTTGTTTTGTTCTTACCACAATCATACTGAATGAGGCGTACTTCAGGAAATTGCATGGACGTTCCTCTTGCAACAGGATGCATGAAAGTTGTCCTAGGCATTAATTCATGATGAAGCCTTTCTTCAAGGATCTGCATCTTTGTGACGAACGATGGTGGAGGATGTGACATGTGCAGTCTAATGGGAGGAGCTGTGGCCTTTGGGATTACAAACACAAACCTTCAAAAAAAGAGAGAGGAAAAACAAGCATGAGGAAGAGATTTCTGTTTTACAGTAAACTATTTCTGAGATGGGACATTGATGGGACAAGTATTAGCTGTCTGAATTAGAGAGAGTCAAACAAAAGATTGAACAACCAAGAAAAGGTATCACAGGGAAACTCAATGGTACAATTCACATTTCATACACAGTACCAGATTAACAAAACACTATGCCAAATAATTATCATTAATACCATTACCTGACAGCTCAGAACTTCAGTAATATCAAGGTCATTCAAAAACACGGACCATTGAAGTTGAGAATTCATCACGTACTGTCAGTGCCGAAAATGTACCTTAATGTAACATGACTGTATTATTGCAAGGAAGGGCTAGCATTGAGGGCTTTGTCTTTAAACTGTTTTTTGCCCAGGTTCAGCATACTACTCAATGCCAATTAATGCTGTAGGAAATTTTGCTGAGGATACAGCATTATAAGCTTCATTTTGCAGCTTTAATGAGACTGATTTTCCTACTTGACACAGAGCCTGAAAAAGATGCATCTGGCAACACTGCTATGCTTTAGAGAATAAGTATCCAGTGACAATGTGTTGTTTTATGTGCAATCTACCTTCTTATGATTTCCCTCATTTCATCAATTCTAGACTCTGGGGTCTTCATCATGTTTGTTAAATACTCAGAGCGCTTGACTGTAGTCCACACATTATGAACAACAGATACAGCCTTCACCAGGTCCACTCCATAAACAGGCTGAGCTTGAGCATGACGGCTGTTTACTTCCACGATGCGCGTCAGCTTTTGTTTTCTTTCTTTAGCTCTCTTTTCTGCAAGGTTTTCCTGTAACATTATATGCAAAAATGCCTATAGTGAACAAACAAGGATCTGAAAACATTGGTCGATCGTTAAATGGGGCTGGGCACCATCCTAGGGGATTGGAATGGACCAATAAGATGACATTCAAGTTTTATATTAATGAGTAATGATCTCAATCAAGCATAAGCCTTTGATCCAGAAATGAAGAGAAGCGAATTTCTCGTAGCCTCCTTTCCATGTCTCTGTACACCTCCCCAACTAATGACTTGTCTAACATTGTTTTTTTTCCTTTGGTAGATAAAAGACACAGAAAATTTGAAATAAAAATAATAAAAAATGAAAAATGAATAGAAAAACAAAAAAAACAACAACAACAGAACAAACATTAGTTGCCTAGGTTTGGACTTACAATAATCCACAAACTATCAGCAAACTGGTTTTCCAGAGGAAATTTTATGTGCACCATTGTTTGCTAGTTTGGCTTTTACCCCTCCCCTCCCTCCCACATTCCACATACTAGTGTCTCAGTGATGGTATGGCAGGTGCTAGGAGATGAGTTGTGGAAGGACTGCCATGGCACCCCTAATACTTCAACCAGCTTACAGTTTACTTTCTGCTCTATTAAGGGTAATCTATCATTGCAATCACATACCAGGTAGAAAGGAGAATCTTTGTTTACATGAGAGACAGCTGGAACAGCGACTGATGGTTTGTTCTCCAGGGCAATCCTCTTGCTGGGTGAAACAGCAAAAGGTTTTGTCTCGGGATGAGCAAGTCTACTTGCTGTATCAGACTTCACACTTTGTACTACAGGTGCTCTAACTTGCAGCACTGGAAGGTCAGCATTACTAGCAACTATCTGCCGTGGTTCAGAAGTTACACTGCTGACAGAAGGAGAAGCTGGCCACGATGGATGTCTTGCCAAAGGCTGACGCTGGGTATCATACCCTGCTGCATGACCCGGATAAGGAGGAGGGGGAGCTCTTCCATATCCCGCCATAAGTAACCTAGAAGCTGGGTAGCCAACTGGCGCTCCAGTACTATGCCGTGTTGAGTAGCCATGCTGTCCTTCAGGCGTCCCTGGTTGTAATCTTCCTGCAACAGATCCCATGTAGCCAGGACGTGGGTAACCTGGTAGCTCTTGAGACCAACTAGGCGGCATACCATAGGGTAGGTTACCTGGTGTGTAAGCTCCATGCATCCTGTGCTGTGGGTGTGCGGAATAAGGAGGTGGTGGTACAGAAGGTACATGATGGCCAGATGGATGAACACTGTTTGAAATATCAGTCTTTATGCCAGTCAATGGTGCCACAGTATACCCAGACATTGAAATTCTCCTTGGTTTTACTGGTGGCACCAGTTGCCTGGTAGGTTCAGGAAGGGTGTCTACTTCAATAATCATTTGTGAAGGCGTCTGAAGGGACTGAGTGCGATATGCTGCATAGCTTGTAACTGTTCTTTCAATGTCGGATATACACAAGTTCAAGTAGCCAAAATTGACTTGTTTAAGAGGATCGTATTCCAAAGCCTTGAGCACTAATGAAGCAGTGTAGAACACTATACCCTCTGTCTGCAAAGGTGAAACTGTTGGTCTGGGCTCAAAAAGATCTGGATGGTTACAGACCTGCAGAGAATAAACAATTTTATACGACTGTTAACAATACATATAGTACACATCCTGATAAGAAAAACAGTGTCCAAAATTTTCACTGGGTCTGGGTTTGAGCGAAGTTACCCTTTAGGTCTCCAGGGAATGAAGTTCTACTCCCCCCATAAATGACATGTACATCACAGGGAAAACTCAAGAATTATATTCACTGAAACCCATTTATATGCCTCAGTGGAGCAAGTAACTGTGAGAGCAAACAGTCCAAAAGTGCTGAGAATTCCAAAGTCAATTTAAAAAAATTCATTTACTTTCTTAAGAAATAATAAGAATAAGAATAAGAATAAGGATAACAGTAAGAATAAGAATAATTAAAATTTGTGATGCGCCTTTTCCATGCAAATATGATCAAAAGTGCGAAAGAAAAAAAGAAAGAAATACCGGTAATAACGCGATAAGAAATAAAGAAAGAATGAGATACCTTTCTTAGTTGCATGAGAATGTTGATTACACTGAGAAAGTGGCCTGATTCCAAAGTTTCCTTTGTCCTGAAATACAATATTGGTGACTTAAACCTGAAGTAAGGCTGAAATAGTATCAAAACACTTATCAAGAGATTCCCAAAGGCTCCTGTAAAGCTATGAGAACCCCTTCTTAATCTGAAATGAAAGACTTCTGGCCAGCAAAGTCCTGAGTTTACCTTAGCCCAAATGTTAATTGCCGCATTGACAGTATTACTAATACAGTAATTATTATTCTATTACAGTGTATGTAGCTACCGACAGGAACCACTAACACGTGATAGTGAGGTGCCATGGGTTTTATAGCAGCTTTTAATCTTGGCCATTGACTGCAAAACCAAAATTAATGGATAGAGAGTAACCTTGGACACAGAGCAGTTGGCCTTGTTAATCTAATGTGACTAACATGGAAGTGACATTTAATAAAGCCAACAAGTTCTACAGCATTAACTTAGCAGAAACTCAAAAAGTCCAGTTCGACAGTGAGAACAACAAACATTTTCATTCCAGTACTTACTTGGCTCTGGACATAAAGTCATCATAAAGGTAACGTTGCCTCTTTGATAACCGACATCTGACCAAGTGTTCATACTTCTTAGGCATTTGGGTTTCAACTTCTTGTTTTAGTCTCCTTAACAAAAACGGCCTAAGAACCTAAAACAACAATGTGTTATTAACTCTAACAAAAATATTTAAAACTAAGCAATCAACAACAACAGATGGCAAAAGTGATGATTTATTCTTGATGTACCTCTCGACAGGATCCACTAAATGTCTGTATTAATAGTAAACATCAGTGGGTTTTAAAAGAGTTTTTTGTTATTGGCCACTTGAAATTACCACATAGCAATAACGACTATGCAATATTGGATTGGGTGGCCAAGGTATATGTTACAGGTCAAAATTACATTCAGGTTAAATCAAATATTATTAAAAACTGAATTATTGGATAATGCAATCCCAGAGCTCTGATTGGCTTAGACATCATGGTATAGGAGCCATTATACCATTCTCTCCAAATATGGTAACTGTATACGTCTGCTCAAAATTAAAAGCAAGCTGAAAATCGGTTGTTTTTACAAGTGAAGTCGGGAGGAATTCTTGATATTTTGTGGCCGTTTTTAATAAAACAATTATTCCACTCGTTCTTGTTGGATATGAGATGATTACAGCCATACCCCTAATTATTATTCATCACCTAAAGCCAAGAGACAAAGGAAATTGAGAATCAAACCGAAGCTAAAAATCTTTTACTGAACCTGAATATATTTTGACCTGTAACATATTATATACTACGCTACAACGGCAATCCTTTCAAGTTTTTGGTACACTAGGTACTCACTTTGTGAAGTCTTTTGATGAGCCCCTCATTATACTCTCTACTGCCTTCAATCATTCCTGAAAGGGGGTTGGAAAACCATTCTTTGAAGTCCTTATGTGACTGAAAAACATGGGGCATTAGAAAATGCATCAAAGACCACAGTTCCATCAAGCTGTTTTGTAAAGGTGTCCCAGTAAGGAGTAGTCGGCAGTGGCTGTTAAAGTTTAGCAGGTACTGCCATCTTTGGGACTTGAAGTTCTTGATGTTTTGGGCCTGCAAAATACAATGAGAAGCTCAGCTTTGAACAATAATATTATTTATGGTACCACCTTAACACAGCAACACAGTTAATTATGAGGTCTGATGATGAACACACCTCATCAAGAATGAAGTACTTCCACTTCTTTCTTCTGAAGGCCTGATGATCTTGAATAACAAGCTTGTATGAAGTGATGCACACATGGAATGCATTTGGTTTTGTCCAGCCCTGTTGAAACAAATTGAAGTGTCCCAAATGAATGGGATTTGGCCATTATTTTTTTCATTGCTCAGTTAAGGAGTTCTAACTCTTGCTAGGGTCAAACTTAGTGCTGCAAAACACAAACAGTTAAGAGCTAGCACTTAAAGAAGCACATGTTTTGTACACATAGAAAAACAAAATGACAAGGCAACAGTATTAGAATCCTCTTGAATCTGTGCTTCCAAGATTTAAAAAAAACTCAAATTAGATGGCCATACAAAATGTCTAAAACAACTTAAAACATGATCATTTTGCTTGCTTATCCTAATCTGCATATTACTTGACCTATTGACTTTGACATTTTGACATTGACATAATTGGACCTTGCAGGTTGTAGAAGTGCAGAAAAAAGAAAAGTCGAAGCCCTGACAGAAGACAAGACCAATGCACGCACCTGTCTCTTGGCCTTGCGTTCCTTTTGGCTGCCATAGTAAGTCAAGATTTTGAACCCAGGACACCATTTCTTAAACTCCAACTCCCAATTCAGCATGACAGATGTGGGAACAACAACAAGGTGAGGACCCCACATGCTCTTCTCACAAGCCAGGTGTGCAAGCAATGCTATTGTCTGGATTGTCTTACCCAATCCCATTTCATCTGCCAGAATGCCATTTAAGTGTTTCTCATGCATGGTTACCAGCCAGTCTAAGCCAATCAGTTGATATTCACGCAAGACACCACGCAGCAGAAATGGCACTTTGGTCTTGATCTGGGCAAAGAGGAAGAAAATGTTGCTAGTCCATTTATGGAGAGAGTTACGTGTGTTGTAGTGCTACCATTTGGGTTTGTGGTCTTCTGATGTGACCAACTTAGTAGTGTTAATCTAAGATCCAACATGTTTGTCACGATCTACTTAGTACTTTACACCAGCACATGACTGTACTTTGTAAAGTTTTGGAAGAAGAAGGGTCACCTATAAAAAAATCCCTTACTCTTTCTTAGAAACAGCAGCAACAGCAAACTACCTTTAAAAAGACAACCTTTACCAGCAGAACAGTGTGTAACAAGCACGACAGGCACTTTCATAATCAATACATTGGATAATTTTCTTCTGAATAACTCCTGAATAACTACGCCCCCTTAAGGATGGAATAAAAGCTAGATACTTACTTCAGTAGTCTCCAAGGTAAATCCTCGAGGTTGTAAGCTCTGTGCAGTTGCAGCTGCATCTGTCAGCTCTTGATCTGGATCAGAATCAGCACTCTACAAAACAATATTATTTCTTCATTATTGTACCTATTATTGAAATACTTGGTTTTAAGATGAATAAAATGGTATTCATTACTTAGTGCATCATAAAAATTAGCAGGGGGCAATCACTCAGCATCTCCTTGATAATACTAAGTAGAGATCACTACCTATACTACAGTTCAAAAATGCTATTTTCAACTCTTGCTCAAATCATGTCAAAGAGTATATTATGTCAGGTGATAAAAAATAGGTCATTAGATATAGCATAATGGTAAGTGGTAGAACAAGAATAATGATATTAAGGAAGCTATTATGTTCTTTTCAACAAGTTGCAACTTGATGAATGGTGACAATGGTGACAATCAAGAACATACTGAGCAACCAATGTACTAAATTAAAGATGCTGAACTTTACATCATTGCCTTTATAAGTTCCAGATGCATGCAGAAATCTAGTTGCTCTGATAACAGATACTGATACAAGTCTAGTTTTCAAAGATAACAGAACACACCTGTGATTCACTGGCTTTTTCCTGGTCTGTCTGAACAAGATACTCCATTCCCTCTTCATCACTCATTTCTGCAAATCAAGAAGACAATAATAATTATTAGAAACCACCAAAAAAATTTATTTGTAGACCAGTTCTGCAATTCCTACAGTACCTTCTTCAGATGATTCTTGTGAACTCTCCACATCACTCTGCATATCCGTTGACTCATTCTCAGCAGCACTATACATCTTCATCAGCTCTTCAATCGGCATTTCACCTTGGTACATAAAAAGGCATCAATCCAATTAATAATCAACTAGGGACTTGTTTAATTCATTTTATTCCTTAGTAACCATTGTCTGGAATTTTGGTAGTCCACGTGTGCATAGGTTGGATGCTAGTTGAACCTCAGAATGGATCTTAACTAAAACAACGAAACTGTATTCATACCTTCTTTCTGAAGGCTGTCAATCTCATTTTTATGGTCAGATTCTCCTTCCATCCTCTCCTCTTCTTCTAGAGTCTGTTCATCATCTTCCTCTGTACCTTCTTCAGTTACAACAAACTCTACATCTGCTTCAGCTGACTCACCTGTACCAACAGGTTTCCTACGATCAGCCACAAGAGAATAAAAAGTTTAAGATGCCACAATGACAACAGCAACAAGAACATCAAAACATGAGCAGCACATTTTTACTGTACATTTCTTTGCCCTCACCACACCACTGATGTGGAAATGCCTGATTTCAGGTTTCAAGGAAGATGTAAACAAGGCATGACAAAATTGTCTTTCTCTTCTGAACTTGGATATGGTTCTTAGGAATTCAACTCCAGAAGAGTTGGCTTGCATTTGATCAAGTAAGCAAGTTGAAATAATCACGATAGAGATTAAAAGAACACAAATTCGCTTTTTTAGCAACACTTTTGCTGCCGTTCCCATCATGGTATCGTAATCTCCATATTAAGTGACAATAGGTTAGAAATAGCTCAGAGGTTCATTTTTAAAGGGAAACAGTGCACAGTACAAGAACAGCTAACTTAGGTTCAGGACTTCTAAGTTCTTGAACGTCCTGAAACATGACCTGTCTCTAAGTTGGATAATTTCCTCTGCATTAAAACCTTGAGGGTGCTTACAATGAACACAATTTGATTTATGTCACCTGTTTGCTTCAAAAGCATTTACCTTGTGGATGACTTCTGTTTGTTCTTTGCTTCTTGTTCTTGTTCTTCATCATTGTTGCCCTCAACATCTACTTCAATGTCGCTGTTATCACTTTCATTACTATGGCAAATACAAAAGAAAATGTGTCATGACAAAAGAAACTGTACCCTGTCAATGCTGCATTCGCTGGCCATGAGAACCATGGTTATAGAGGAAAACTTAAAGACCAAGCAAATGACCATAATATTGTATTAATTATTTTTGTGCGAGGAGCAGTTTGCTTGCTTTGGTTTTTGCAACCCACCAAATCTTACCTTGAAGCATCACTTTCAGCAGATGAATCATCATCATCATTATCACTTTCTTCAGTTCCACTTTCGTCACTCCTTTCCTCAAGTATCTCTGGAGGTAGGCTCTCCAAAAGTTTTTCCAAGGGGATTTCACTTTCTTGTCGCAGCATCTCCAGCTCTTTTTCTCTGGATTCAGACTGCTCCTGAGCTTCTTCCACATCAATTGTCTCCTCATCATCCAGTTCCTCAGCAGGCTCAAATTCACTATCACCACCTAAAAATGTTGTAAAAATCAGTCCATTGCAGATGAGATCTTAGTTAGTGCCAGGGTTCAACTAGCCCCCTCCCGCCTCTTAGTGGCTTCTGTTGATTCACTTTAGTTTTTCCACAAAACCTTGGAGGCTGTTCATTTTGCTATCAGACATACTTTGAATTAATAACCAAAAAAGGATATCTCACGAAATACTAAAGGTTCCCACTGAACAATGCTCAGGAACCAGTTTTTCATTTCAGTGCTGAAAATAACAAGTAACTGTGACCAACAGATGTTTTTTTAAACTCAGCACAACTTTCACAAAAAAACAACAAACAACAATAGGATTGATGACTAGTCAATTATAGGTGCCTGGAAAAAAGGACTACTTCGTCTGACAGGGGAGTGGAGGGCAAAGGTGGTGCAGTGGTCAATGTTGCCTAGGTTCAATTCCCAGTGCTTACACAATAGGTAGGTTGAGTTTGTTGTTGGTTCTCTCCTTTGCTCAGAGAGGTTCCCCAGGCACTCCGGTTTTCCCCTTCCCCAAAAAGCCAACATTTCCAAATTCCAATCCAATCTGGAAGGCAAGGACAAGTGCCTTGTGGGTAAAGAATTATGGTTTAAACTCATCACAAATAGATGAGCTTGGGAACTGGTGCCTTAAAGCTTACAGGTTAGCCGGGAGTCAGATGCCATAGCCGCAGGGAGGTTTCCATGGCAACCCTAGAACGCGAGAACCACCCAAACGAGCACCCACTAACCGGCACCATCACACTGAAAAAATCAGTGGACATAACTTACCTGAAAGGATACTTACCCTGCCAACCAAATGCAATAGAGGGAGGAGAGGGCTAAGGGCACTTTCCATTTGTCAGAACTGACTGGACAGACCAATCCAGTCACAAAGAGAATTTCACTTTTAATCAAAACTATCTAGCTAGATCAGTGAAATCCTAAATAGCATGCACGAAGGCGATAGTGTTTCAACAAAAACTCTTGGAAAAAAGCATTTTTCATTGTAAAAATGACTGGTCCATCTATGGTCTGGCCGGTCAGTTCTGACTTTTGGAAAGCGCCCTACGAATCTGCAATGACTTGCAATAGCTGAGCTTTTGATCTGCAAAGATCAGCTGATAACACTGCATGTGTAAAGCAATGAACCTTGAAACCCTGCAAAACCCCTGGAGGCCACCCCAAAGGTCATGTACGGCAGATGAGGAAGAGCACTGGCAGCATTTGCTCGAATTTAACTTTGCCTTAATGATATTTAGCCACATTACAATTACTAAGACCTACCTTCTGGTTTAGATGATACTGGAGAGGAAGGCCCAGTCGAGACACCTGATGCTGGACCACTGGAGGGTGGTGGTACAGCAAGGCTCTCTGCCAGCCAAGATGAATACTTCTCTGTTTGATCCACAATGAAGTTTAACTGCAAGTCAAGAGCTTTCTTTCTGTTCTCTTCTAATCTGCTTTGAACCTTGTACTGGACAACCTGTCAAGGGCAATAAAAAAAATGCTACCTAACATAAATCAGATATAGCCAAGTATGTTCAATGTTATGCTTTGAAATGTTGTGATTTAATTATGTGGTTTAAAATAATAATCCCTCATATTTGCTAAGGGAAAGCCCACGAAGTAGCATGATTAACTTCACATTAATAATCCTTTTTCGAATCAAAAATTACAGCTGGATACAAAAATTAATGACACATTCATATAGGGTTAGCATTGACATAAAGTAAAATATTCAAAATTCTGGCAAGTTAGTGTTTGAAACTTGAAAATACACAATAGACAGAGCAATAACCAGGTCTTAATGTTGTTGGAATTTGTGAATATATTTATTTCAGATAAAGGCTAAGCTTTTATTCAGGGATCATAGTGAACTCAAAACTGGACTGTTCAGGGCCTTGATGCTACTTTTCTGCCCTTTTCTCCCTCATTCTATGGTAAGTAACTATGTCCTATTCATTTTGCACTGAATTCTTTCTCAGTGCTGTTGGTGGATGCCACACACTAGGTTGCCATAGATACCTACTGACAGCTTAAATGTGCACGACTCCACCACTGTTGTAGGCACTTACCCCTACCCTCATCTTTTCTGGAATTTATACTTAGGCATAAAGGACTTACAAGCAAGCAGTTGACATAACAGACACAAACAGTAACCTTTTCAACAGAAGACCAAAATTGCTTGATTTCCTTTGATATGCTTGCAGCAATCTTTCTGAGACGAACTGATTCTTCCTTTTCAGCTTTTACTTCCTTGCTTTTCTGTTCCTGATGGTATTTTAGAACAGCTCTGGATATCTGCAAAAGTGATATATGTATACGTTGTAGTTCAAAATGAAGTCCAGGTTAAAATGGTTTCAACCTATAGTACCAGAAAAAAATAGTTGGGACACTTCCACCCAATGCTGCTTTTTTTACTTCTGGCCTGTCTACTCGTCCTCCCAATGCTGTTTATCACAGTTAACTCACCAAATCTTGCACACCAACGCTGGGAGGGTAACAAGAGTAAAGACACTAAAGTGTCCCAAACATTTTGACTGAGACTGTAGGTTGATTCCCAATTTCCTTTGTCTCCTACACCCAACCATTCATGATTATTATTAGTGGTGGTAACACTTTGTTTAGTTTCGGAAAGTCATGCTTAATTCTTGACGTGATTATGAACCAAACCATAGCATGAAAAATGTTTTCTCTGACCTCTACAGTTAGACAAAACTGGTATCTCGCCATGCCTTGTTTAATTCCCGCTGTAAAAATCACTTTACAGCCAGAATCAGGACAGATTCATGCTATGTCAGGTTATATTATAAATTGTTTGTACGGATTGTTTGCCTTGTTTTGATGAGAATTGATAATTATAACAACGTTTAAATACGCTGTTCAATGGATTGGTCCTCAGACACTATGGTGTTTTCATGTGATTTTCACGCATATATTAACTACACTTATGCAGTCTTTAAAGGCACTGACATTTAAATCCGAAAAAAGCCTTTCGCCTTAATCTCTCTATTCCCAAATGAGGTCCCATTTCTTACCGTTATATGTTTATGTTAATTGACCTTGTTGAACTTATTTTTAACAACAAAAAAAGATTCCTTTAAATTCTGTTCATGCTGAATAGGCCAGTGAGGCTGAAATAGAATGGATACAATAATTGTATCCATTCTATTAATTATTAATCAGGGTTGTCAAAAGTAGCCTGCTGCCGGCGAAAATCGCTGCCTACTTGGTTAGTATTGGCTAGCTACTCTGCTTAGCATTTCTTTACAGATGGCATTCTTTAAATAAAATATCCTTGGACTAGCCGCTTACTTTGACAACTCAGTCATCTACTTCAAAACTTTCTGACAACCCTGAATTAATATATGTATAATATTTAGCTGCTTACATCCTTGCATAAAATTTTACAGTGAGCTTTTCTAAGAAGGAAATATTTACATTTTAACACGTACCTTCTTACAAATACCCCTTTTCCACTTTCTTTCCTGCACAAAGTCAGTTGCTAACCAGGTCATCTCTTCAAGGAGATAGTCCCAGTGTGCTTTACACCTATCTGATTCCTTGACTTTAGGGAGACGGGTCAAAGACCAGAGACCTTCCTTACGCAGTTCAGATACTCTTTTGAGTACTTCTGCCTCTTTCTTTGCTTCAACAGCAATATCCTCTGTACTGCTGAATGACTGTTCAAGCATGGAGGATAACGATTGTCCTCTGGTGCTTCTCGCTCCATGAGGATGCACAGTAGGTCCATTAGATATTGCCTGACTTGGCACTCCAGATTGAACTGCACTGACACCAGACACATGGCTTTTGGCCACTGTGCCTACTGCTGCATGATTACTTTCGAAATGATTGGTCCCGTGGCCAGGCGGAACATGCATTTCTAGAGGAGGATTTGGTAATGACATTGACCTAGAAAATGGAGGAGGGTTGCTGACTACGTTTGTTCTTGAAAGAGGTTGGTTTCCAGTAAATGGAGAAACATTAGGTGCAATTCCATCAGAAATTTGTGGGTTATAATTAGAATTTGCATTGAAATTGCCTGGCACTGATTTTCGAGGATCAAGACCAGCTTGTTCATGAACTTGTCTTTGCAATGCAGTCAAGTCTGTAACACCAGCATTGCTAGCATCTGCTTGTTGCTGAGGCCACATAAAACTTTGTGGTAACCTAGAAGATGGCGACACAGTCATTGCAGTAAGTGAAGGATTCATACCAGATGTATCATCCAAGCGATTTGAGTTGAGAAACTGTAAAAATTGTGGACTTGGCCTCTTTTTCCACATTAAGAAATCCATCATACTGCCTCCACTTTGAAGAAAAAACAACTCTTGTAGCTTCTCACGATAATTTGCCTTTAAGGTTTCAATTTCTCCGTTAAAATATCCAATTACAAGTGGTCGTAACTTTCCTGTTTCAATTAAATCAGATGATACAGGGAATCCGGGAGATTTATCTCCCCTGTTTGCTACACCATGATTTCTGCTAACACTGACTGAACCATGAGGATTCAAAGCATTTCCTGTGGGTTGATTTCGACCAGGTGACAACTGATTTGTAAATAGTGCTGGATTCTGTAATGACTGTGTCCTGTGAGATGTATTGTACCCGAGATGATGAATGGTGCCGCCTTGAGAGGGACTTCCCCCACTGTAAACAAACTGATCCCTGGGATTAGAGAAAGGTTCAGATGAATAAGGAACTGTAAAGTTCGGATCTGCAGGACTTAACTGAGATGCATCAGGCATCCCTGCATAAAATTCAGGAGTTTTTAAACCGGAGCCTCTGGGACTCATTGAGCCTGGACCACGAGAAAGCGTGTATGTTACACTACTAGGTGTTGCGCATGAAGGCGTGGAAGGAAGAGCTGAAGGAGACAGAGCTGGTGACACATGCATTGGTGAAGAAGACTGGTAATGTGATGGCGAAACAACTGGGTGAGGAAATGGGGAACAGGGAGACAATTCTCCTGTTGACCCCACAGGCTGACTAAAACTACGCTGGAATCCATGGTAGCTCACGCTTCTATGAGGGCTAACAGGTTGCACCGATCGCGTCGGACTTGGAGTCGAACTGGCTCCATGAGGTCCTAGATATTGAAATGAGGCTTGCGAGTAAGGCGAGGTCGGTACATTTTCTACACCATCCAACGACCTGGCCACTTTAATATCATTGCTATGATGTCTTTCCAAGTCATGAGAAGGCGTCCTGCGAACTCTTCTGCGAGGAGTTTCATCGTGATATTGCGACGATTCGCTGTTTCGCCGCATCACTTCAACTCCGCAAGGTGCTTGTTTGACATAATATTCCCATCCTGTGAAGGAAACGTCCCAAGCATCCTGCAAGAGGAAATGCCGTTTTCGGTCAATTTCATACAAGGCAGAGCATGCGCGACATTGCCGCCATTTTGGTTTTTCATAACGAACAACAGCATTGATCGCATCCACAAAATTAATGCACTAAAACTACCCATCCATCCCAAATTTACTCACACTTTTATCCACTGGTAACCTTTCGATTTTTTCCTGAGGTTTTCGAAACGTATTCCAAAGTTTTTCTCAACAAAAAAGCACAATTTATCTTCACAAGCTCTGCCGAATTTCCGCCTCGAAGACAGCTTTGATATGCGCTTGGCCACCACACCACCCTAGAGCATCACGGGAATTCACCATCATAAAAGAGGCCCGGCAGCTTGGCACTACTCTCAAAAAATGAGAAAATAAATAATGCAGTCAAGGTGAAAAGTTTTGACTATTTTTGCTAATTTCCAGTAAACGAAGAAGTTATTATATTTTACTGAGTACAAACTTCGTTTTTTTTTTATCAGAAGTTTACCATATTTGTAGAACGAAGCCTGAATAAACTTTAAAACCTGGCCGCGGTTTCTCCTCAAAGCGAGGCTACCTCACATTGGCGCGAAAGTTCGAGTTGCAAGTTTTTGCTCCGTGAATTCTGTCTGTTTTCCTCAACACCATGCGTCGCTCCGCAGCCCCTTCGGCTAGAGCTTCTAAGAAAATGAAATTTATCACTCCATTTCTCGCTGGAAACAATTTAAACAAAGATGAAAACTCAAAGAATTCACTCGCAGGTTTGCACGCCACTTCATGTCAGGTGAGACGAGCAGAAGGCTCTTGCATTTGATGTGGGTCGATTCAGGAGATTTGCTCATTTAAACAGCGTTTATGCGTAAGCTTTTGCTTTGGGCTTAAGACGGGCAACTGATACATTTGATCGAAGTGCATGGGAATCCTCCATTTTGCTTTGGTTTGAAAATTACCTGGAGAGATATAATTTACATACAGTATTCTCAGACGGCCAGCATAATCTTGCCCAATAATTAAGCTTATTTTAAGGAGTTTTTCTCTCCTTTTTCATCATTTAAGGAGAGAGAATGTGACAAATCATTTTTCACAGTACAGTCACAAGCAAAAGGTTTTTCAATATTATTCAAATAAATTTGCCCATTCAATGATTATGATTAATTAGAAGTGTTATTTGTGCAAAAAAACTGTGGTTATATCAGCTACGATATGGTCAATTTTCCATCTTAAAAAGATTGAAAAATTGAAGTTTAAAGATCTGTGAGTTGATTAAACCAAGTTTCTGTTTCATTTCCTCACTGCAATATTTCTTTTGTTATCTCTGGACTCTCTGTACAGTAGCTTAATAATTATAGTGTGGCCATATCCCTACTCTTCAAGCAGAGGTTTCTCTCTTGCATGGCTTTTAGCGTTTACGAAGTAGTTCACACGGCTTGTGTTTCGCGTAGTTAGTTTGTTTACTAAAACAAACTAACTACGCGACAGACAAGCCACACGAATGACTTTGTAAACGCTAAAAACCATGCAAAAGAGTAACCTCTGCTCACAGGGTACCCTATTCCATAAATTATCAAGTAAATTTGAAAAGGTATGAGGGGGTAATTAATATATGGGTGGGTGGATGGGGGGGGTCCTTAACAGAACTATGGGCTCTTTTCGTAGACAGCTAAGCCTGTTGTAGGCATTCAGAAACTAAAAATTTGCACAAAATGGAAAACAGAGAAAAAAAATAGATTGAAATAAACAGGCAGATGGCCAGCTTACAGATAGCTGGTGTATATTGTGACCCATCAAACATTGTCAGTGAAGCCTTTCTCTGTGTATTGTGTTATTTACTCTACATATTATCAGCATATAATCTCTTGAAGAAATTCAGCAGGCTAGTGAAGTTAATATCGATTTAAAACTGTCAGTATCATTAAGACGTTAAGACTGGCTATGTTTTGAGAACATTTAAATCAATAGCATATAATCTCGTATTATAGAGGTAAAGGTTGTTTACCATTTTACACGGGCAAACCGGTGAGATCATGTTTGGGTAAATGGTAAGATAAATTTCTTCCCAGAATCACCTTTACCTTTTGCGCTAATCAGTTCCATTTACCAAAAGAAGGCCATTAAAGCCTGAACCTGGTATCAACGATGGGTTTAAAGAAATGGAACACAAATCTGTGGAATATTCCACCTGGAAAAACAGGACTACCTTTTGAGACGTTCCGTTGCTTGCGGAAATTTTCTGGCTGAAATGACCCAAAAAGTAGTGTTTCCTTTACTTTCCAACTGGATTATCCAGAAACTTTTTGTAAATGGTAAACAATAGAAGATAGCTGCTTCTTGTTTTTCTTTCTAGGAGAGCTATTCACATTGTAATGTGCCTGTGAGTCCATCAGACATTGGAAACAAAGTAGAAGTTTTTAAAAGTAACACGATATCAACAAGTTTTGTAGAAGAAGACGTAAGCAAAGAATTAGCTGTTAACAAAGATGAATGTCTGACTTTGAATGTTCCAAAGATTACTAAAACAGCACGCTTCAAGTCTCCACTACAACAAATGTCCTCTATAGGTGAGCTTCTTCTGTTGTCAGACTGTTTTAGTTATAAGTATATTTATGTGTATGCATTCTAGAATTTCTTCTCTCTTGAAATTTATTTTCCTTTAATCCTTTGATGTAGACTCCTCTGATGAAAAAGAAAATGCTTGTTTATACTTTAATGTTGTTTGGTAGGTACAATACATATTTTAAAATACTATAAATAATTGGACAGGGCAAGACCAGGAAATTACTTAGTTAAGGCTTGTTTATGTGTTTGACTCATAGCCAAGCATAAGCATAAGCAAGAAACCTAACTGGTGTGATGCAAACATGAGCACCTTGGAATATGCTTGTGTTCTCCTTGTTTAGTTGTTTGATGCAATAAATGTTTGAGAATAATATTATATTTACATTGTACGGTTATGGTCTACATCCTGCCATATTACTAATAGTCACCATTTTTGTTTGAATTACTCAAAATGATAAATGATTTTATTCTAGAGTGAACAAACTTGTTCTTGACAAATCCTTTATCAGTCTGATCAGCTGGCTGTATTCAGGGTGCAAAGAAAGTCAGTTTTACAGCTTTGCATTTTGCGCAAGCTGTAGCTAGCATGTACTAGCCCAAAAGTCATTTTACCCAGCCCCAAAGAATTTGTTGATGAGCTGCATTGATTTTTAGCTTTTTGGTGATTTGAATTTCCTAAACAACTTCACTTGCCCATCGGGCAAGTTAAGAACAGAATTCACTAGCCTGGCAGCAAAATCCGCTAGTCCTTGGCTATTGGACACGCCTTTCCTTGGTAGCCTACGTGTAGCCACACCCTCCCCCCAACAAAGGAGGGGGAAGGGTGCTTCTACATGTAGGCTATTCCTTGCAAGCTGTGTATTATGCTTTTTATCTAATAGCAGCAACCCAGAAGTTGACTCAATCCCTTCCTGTTAATGTCAATAATATCAACTTCCCTTCAGTTGTATTATCACATTTATTTTTATATCAAGGCTTCCTTCAATGTAATTTTTACCGGACTGACTTAATTACTTAGTAGACAGGCTAGTACTGCTTGAACTAAGCTCTGCTAATGGATAATGTAAAGTAGCTAAACCATATTTCTTTTATCTCAGGGGAAAGATGTCAAAGAAAAAGGTAAAGTGTGTGCATGTTTTATCAGTTGTACGTCCAAATGAAATTGAGGTTAAAGTTGTTTCATACAATACAAACTTTATTGATACTTCCTAAAGAGGGCTTTTCAGTGACAATAATAAAATTAATTTACAAGATAATACGTCAAAACATTATCTTAATCCTAATTATTCATGATCATGAATAATTATGGTTAGGAAACGAAGGAAACTGATAATCAACCTAGGTGGAAGCCATTCAATGCCTTAATTTAATTTTGACCGACAACACTCCTTTGATCACACTGATTGAGGATATTTATTTAGTTAACTATCAAAACAGACCATCAGGCTTTGGTTGTTCCAATGTTGGATAGCGCTATCCCCCCGATAAATCACATATCCAGTGTATAAGTATAAGGGGAAACTAATTACGCTATTTGATAGATAGAGGTTTATCCAGTAGACAGATAGGATAATCCACCTTTTGAGCAACTATAAGGCCAGAATTGGTCATTTCTGTAAACTTTTTTCCAACTATTAGTATCAGTAAATTAATAGGTAATTATTATTATTATTTTTTTTATAGCATAAAAAGTGGGAAGGAGATGGTACGTATGGTGAAGTTAATTTTAAGTGTGATAGGTAAAGAAAGAACAGGGAGAAGAACTGTTAGAAAAGAGAAGTGTACATGTAGTATCCCCTGTCAGTTCCCACCCCTACCCTGCTGGTTTTAATTTAAAGGTGCAGGTGCAGCTGGAAGTGTTAAGATTAGGGCTTGGACTTGATTTACAGGAGCTTTAGGTAGTCACACCTGCACACTGCAAAAAATTATCATCTCTCCCTGCACACCCACCCCCTGGACCCAGTTGTTCAAAGGCCAATTATTATTGGGGTTAAATTTTAATTCAGTTTCCTTTTCTTTTTGTTAATAAACATTTTCCCTGTCAATTTAAACAAGTTGTTTCCAGATAACAACAAAGATAATTTCCAGGAATTTTCTTTGTAAGCATTCAGATTGTGAATTCAATTTTTGCACTAATCCTGGGTTATATTAATCCTGCTTTGAACAACTGGGCCCAGGTATAATTTATGATTACATTACACCTTTTCGTTCTTGTTTCAATTTAATTTGCCCTTGATTTTTGTTAGGTATACTGATTACAAAGGGAAGAACAGCTTCTTTGAAGGATCTAGAGGGAAAAGAGTGAGTTCAGGATAAATCAGTACTTCATCTCCAGCAATGGAATCTCCTTTGTATCTTTTGAGAATTTTTGAACAGTCAAGGCCAAAGCAAAGAAATCCCTCAATATTTTGAAATGTCAATTTTCTTGTCCCTCAACATACTGTAGTCCCACTTTTTAACCTTGACTGAGAGCTACTGCAACAGTTTCAAATAACTAACATAAATATTTCACTTTGAGTGGTGAATAATATGTCACGAGTGAGCGCAGCAAACAAGTGAATATTTTTCAACACAAGAAAAGAAATTTTGTAACTCCAAGTGACTACGTAATGTTCATTTATTATATAAATACCAGTGAAATACCAAACCCTTTCACTTTAATGGCTTTTTGCTGTGAAAAGCATGATTTATCATGTAGCCTTAGCAATGGTGATCTTTTAACGTGTGAAGATAACATGTTATTTTCACATTTGAAGATACCATGTTTTCGCGCAAAAGCTCACCTGGTATTTCATTGGTGTTTATATAAATAATTAATTTCAATCATTTCAGAATTGCCAAGAGTAGTGGATACAAGTCTTCTGAACTGGAGGCCCTTCAGGAAGGTAACACCCTGTGCATTGGTGGAAAGGAAATAGAGGTATAATGTGATATCTTAATCATTTTATTGTAGTTGTTTTGATCTGAACTGGCAAAATAAATGTTTCCTTTATCAGTCAAATTGTTTCATAAATTATTAACAACTGCGTCGCTGAGTGGAGGTGGGTGCCCGGGATGTCCAGGGGCTTCCACCTTTGGCATGGCCAGCCCCTAGAAAGAGTTATGACCACATGGCTGGCAAACCCGCGCCCTCCAGCCTTGAGCCCCCACTCCAATGGAACCAGGCACCCGTCACACTGATTTAACAGTGGAAAATTAAGTGGGGGGAAGGGATGGGAGTAAAAGAATGATCCAAAGGCTAAACGAAGAGAATGGCCGCCACGAAAACACTGTACAGAGCACAGGGAGGTGATGCAAGCAAGGCTGACCATGCTCGCGCTCCTTGTTGTTAACTCTGTTAAATAAGTGTTTATTTAACCTCATTTAACAATTTGCAGAAAATATCTTAAGGTCTTAAGGTATATTTTTCAAGTGTTAAAAATAGCCTGTGTGCAGACCCCTTCTTTTTCCTTTGTTTTTGCCTCCCACCCCCTCCCCTGACCTCATTGACTTGTACCAGATCTTGAAAAAATAGTCTTCATGCAAGCAAAAACATTGCACACCCAGAGAAAATACCTGCAATGCAGGTTAAGATAACAAGGGGACATCAAAATAAGTTACATATATTTTTTTATATCATGTCCTCCTTTCTCTGTGCTTTATGTGTAGGTGATGGGAAGTATCCAAGCAGAGGATTATCTCAGTGGGAAATGTTTTCAACAATCAGTACAACCATCACCATCTATTCCAAAGCCACTCTCTAGGCTGCCTTCTAAACAAAAAGGTAAGAGGGAAGTGCCTTCTTTTAAGAACACAAGCAACCCATATTAGGCAACCTATACTACTATCACCGGTAGCCCATGCTGTTACAACAGGCAGCCCATACTATTGTCACAGGCATTGCATACTATTATCATGTAGCCTAAAGTCCTAACACAGGAAGCCCATCCTATTGCCTCAGGTAGCCAGTTCCATGCGTTAACTGAAAGTAAGCAAGTTAACTTTTCAAGATAATTTTTTAACGTATTTTTAAGGCACCTGTCGAATCCAAATCAAAAGTTTGACACTGGTAATCTTCTCTGCTTAAAGCAGCAGCAAAGGATTAAACTGGAATATTTAATAAAGATTTTGTGGTTGCACTGCTGTTATGCACACACCAAACTATTAAACCCATATGATTTATCCCTGGACCTTGTCATGCGATGTTGTGAATGCAGTCCTCTCCTGTTTCCTTTGTTGCATGCAAGGACACATTTCGTAGAAATAGTTTTAGAGAGTCAGAGATGTTCCATAAGATTCCAGTAGGTTTTTCAAAATGAGGAATTTGGCTTATTGGATTTCCAGGTTTCGGGATTTTACAGCCTCGTCCACAGGGCTTTTCCCCTTAGTAAATTGGAGGGGCGTTTTTTTTAAGGGAAAAGCTCTGGGGCCGGAGGAGGTTATTAAGAGCGTTGAACGAGATTTGAATTTGTAATTATTTTTTAAACGGAGATCAAAGACTTCAGTGGCTTTTTAGGGATATGTTGTGCTCCAGAAAGCTTATTTGCTTAATCGTAAAAAACTCATCAGCGTTTTCCTCGACCCTGTCGCTCAGCCGTTGCGACCATGCCACACTTTTCTTGTCCAAAGTCTGCCACCGAGTTTCCATAAATGAGTGCGAGCAAGCTCTCGGGGGAAGGAGATGTATATCACGCTTGAATGCAGGCTCCCGAAGATGGGGGGACCCCTGGGACCCGTGTAAGACGGTTTTCAAATCGTAATATGGGGTATGGGATATTGGATCTAGGCGGTGTATTTCCTTTTATCTCGAGCAACAAAGGAAATAGGAGACGTCTTCCAGCAGGTGCAAGGCTATGCTATGGGATCGCGGTAAGCCGATTTACGGCGAAACTAAACAAATAATTATTATTAAAGGCACGTGTGAACACGTCCTATGGTGGTCCGCTTATGAGTAAACATTCTAACCGATAAAATGCACAAAGTCAACATAATTTTAAAGCCTTTATTAGATTAACCGATAATCCTGTCAGTGTGAGGGAAATCAAGAACAATTACTATATGGAAGACTCTTTTTTCCCTTTTTTTCACAAAGGGAATTTAATTCCGAAACGAGACGAATCGGGGGCTTAATTATAATTTTACTGATATAAGGAAAAAAAGAACGACCGCTCTCAGTTGTGAATCGCCTAAAATAACGCATCGTCAAGCGTCTGAAAATGATACCTTTTTGAAGGTCACGCGATACGAAATATTTTAAAAGGGATGGATACTGACCTCTCTCAAAGTGACATTTCAGGCTTAAACCAGTCTGCTACATCAGTTGTCCGTACCTGGCTTCTGCCTGCTCTAAATCGCAATCTCGTACAAAACTAGAAATTTTAATTTGCAATTTTAAATTTTAATTCGTGCTAATGCTTCTTGCGCTGAGACCGTTCATTGTGTGTTCAGTATATTCGCATATGTTTCAGTGTCTCGCCCAGATCGGTTGACTGTAAAATTTCCTCCAAATCTTTCTGATTTTTTTCATCTACTTGTTTCCTTTTCGCGATCCACTCATCCTTCGCTGCAAATCCACGGTCGATCATCAAAAGCTGAAGCCAGTCGTAATCAGAAAGCGCTTTTATTTTTACTCCTTTCTCTACCAACTTCCTTAACCCCTCCGCGTTGTGTTCAGCCACCTTGTGCACGCTAACGTGGATATTCTGAAGATGTGCGAAGCGGATCGACACGCACACTCCCTCGTTTTGCGCGAGCCACTCGCACAATTTTTCAGCACAATCGCCACAAGGCGAAAAGTTACTCAGTAACTGCAATTCCTTCAAGCCCAACAGCGGACTTTCTTCGAGGTCTATGATGGATTTCTTGAATGCGTTGGTCGCAGAGCTCTGGAAAACCTTCCGTGACAGAATTTTGCCGTCCTTTCCTCTAGCAACAGCAACAACGATTCCTTCGGTTGGCCAAAATCCTCCGGGTACACCCGCTTTTAAAATGGCTGTCAGGTTGAATTCCTCTGGAGTGGGACTCTTCGGTGCGGAGTTCGAATTGGCCATCACTGCGTGTGAAAGTGAAAGTTTGTGAATACAATGCGTGAGTAGAGCTGAAACGCTTCCGGCGGGGAGACCTGAAGCTATCATTAACTTGTCAACCGAGAACACCTATCATCTTTTGCTTGCGCTTTAGGTCAACAAGCACTTTCATCTCAAATTTCCTATGCCTTCTTGGGTTCAGTGACAACCGTTCACAAGCAAATCCTGTTTTTAGGGCCATATGACAGTGTTCATTCCTAGGGAAAGTATACTTAACCAATATGTATTTGGATACGAAGAAACACTTTCCTTCAATTAATAATCTCGTAATACCATTCAATATTAATGGAACAGACACCTTATTTTAATGGGTTGTCGTTGTCAACGTTTACATAAATTGTTTTAATTTTTATAATTCAAAATGTTATATAACCCATCACGGGAACAATTTTTAACGGTTTCTTGAACAAGCCAATTTGCTTTCGTTCTAAGATTTCTGAAATTTCCCCTGATAAGCGTATAACCACTGCCAGTTGTTTTTGCCATTTGCGAAAAATATATTTTTTTTATGACGATTTACCCCATAAGAGCACCCGACACAACAAGTTCTTTGTTTCTCTCTCTTCCGAACGAGAAAGGAGAAATTTAAGCTGAAGTAAACTGTTAAGGGCCTGTCTTCTGATGCTTAGCGGAATTACCGTAAATCCTCTATTAAGTCCAGCGGGGGGCTGATTATTTCAAACACATTTGAGGAGGGGGGGGGATGCTTAATAGAGATGGGGGGCTTATTTAATTTAGCAAAGGCGTTAGTATCAGCTCTCAACTAAAATACACAGTGGAAAACTCAAGTACAAGAAGTTGGAGGTCACGAAGCCGAGGATAAAAAAATCCAAACTTCCAGTTGGTTAATAAACCATCCCGGGTCTTCAGTCCACACCGAGTTTTACATTCGTGATTAATTAACACAGTCTATCAGGCAGGGAGGAGGGCTTATTGACTTTCTTCCCCTGAAAGGGGGGGGCTTATTTGTCATGTTGGGGGCTAACTAGAGGATTTAATGTAAGTCAAATAAGAGGCAATTTGTCGAAATTTCACGGTGAAAGGAGGTATGTCACGAATCTGCGCATGCTCGTCAGCGAGAGCTCAACGAAAAAAGATTGTCGCAGCTTTTCAGTTCAGTGGGCAGTTCTTGGGCGCTTCTGTGAAGAGATTTCATCCCACTGAATCTTTACCGGACCAATTTAGGTCTCTGGGAGACTGCCCACCTACCCTTCCCCTAAGCCAACATTTTGCCCTAAGTGAGAAGTAAGTGATAATATTGGCTTAGTGGAGGGGTAGGTGGGCAGTTTCCCAGAAACCTAGATTGATCCTCCTTACCACCCTGTTGAATTTTACCTTTTCGAGGCTAATCTCGTACCCAGATACGGGTACGACATTATTTCGAGTTTTGATTTGTGTGACGTAAGATCTCAGGGATAGGGTTTGTTCTTCGTCGCCGCCCTAGACCTTATTCTTACGTTGACCTTTTTCTCAGAGCTGAAAAACGTTTGGCGTATTTTTTAAGGATTCAACCAGGAGTGAGAAAAGTCTGTGGACATGCGATATCAAAAGTTCTTTAAGAGTACCTTACTCAGTGTTAGTTGAGTTGCGAAACTGAGGTCTTCATACCCTGCTTGCAGAGGTCGCTCATGGCAAGAGAAGAAGGAAAGGAAAGAAAGAGACCGGCTCTGCCGGCCCCCGGCGCGTTCTCACACGTAGCAGCCGACCACATTGGTGGTCGAAACCTACTGGTTTTCAAAACTGGGTTCGTTTAATGTGGATTGCACGTGCCCTGTTAAGACTGCACGCTGGAAATTTCTGAACCCACGGTTGTTATCGCGCAAACCGGTTTTGTAAGTTGTGTCACTCGTGACTAAAACGTTACTGGTTGTTAGGGAAACTAAAAGTTGTTCATTTAACTGCGAGGATTATTTCCACTTTCAAATTCAGTTCTTACTGTTTACTGCGCAGGTTTACCGAACCCCTTCGTTTGTAAGATGAAGAACGGAGTCGCCATGGAAACGAAAAAAATTGCTACGCCACGCCATGACGCCAACGCTCCTGGTGCCCTTGTGATGCCTCGACCTAGTGCTACCCATCAGGTATCTGCCGTACGTACTTTTTACACAACGTCGTTCCCAATGCACGAGCAGAGTTGTTGTTTTCCTAATCTAAACCTACAGGCCATTTTCCGAGTTCTAAAATCTCTCACTTTCAAAACGAGGCTAAGTAATGATTTTTATGTGCATGAGAAACAGAAAGTCATTTTCAAGTCAATGGCTTCGCAGTTAGCCTCGCTTTGAAACAGAGGCTTGGAGCAACCCGAAAATGACCCATTGCTGTTTTGCCGTTCTCGTTGCCGTCGCCGTCGCCGTAGTCGTTGCTTTGCCTAGTTCCTGTACGGCGTCTTTTAAGGCCTTCTCGGTCATTCATTTCGGTGACGTACCCGAGGCGAAAAACTCGGTCGGTCCACGTGACCCGAAACGCATTGGCCGCGCGCAATAATGAGGCCTAGGGACTAGGCGAGTCCTTAACTACCTTTTGGCGGGTAACTTTCTTCTGTGCGGCGGTTCCGTGTTCGATCAAAACAGTTTTTGTAGGGAAAGATACTTTATTATGATGTAGAGGCTTTTTAGTCGAGAAGATAGCATGTACACAGTACGCGTACACAGTATAGATACTCCAAATTGATCGACGTTAGTTTAAGTTTCTTACTAAAAAATCCAAAGGACATTTTATGCCCCTTGCCGTTTCTAAAACTGATGTCAGCTTTTAATGAATGGGATTGAAGTTTTTGATGCGGACCCTAGTCAACTTGTATGGAAGTCTTTGCAGTTATTTCGGTTCAAGTTTAAAAAACCAGCTAAACGTTGGCTTACATTGTAGGCATTCTTAGCCACCTCTGAACGCTCCTCTTTGCTGGGACGTTTCGCAAAACGTTCCCAGCGACGAGGAGCGGTGATAGGTGGCTGAATTCGCCGGCTAAGACATTCTGTGCATAACTGTGTTCATAGTATGGCCGAACTGCTTCTGGTCCATCGTAAAACAGCGGTAAGCAACACTGTTACACTTTGTCTCCCTTTAGTCAGGGATTGCTGCATGCAATACAGATTTTTGCTTGCAATACTGAAAAGTCCCTAAAATAGTGTTATTTGAAACGTACGCAGTTGGAGCATAATCAAGAGGGGCTGGATATTGTTGACGTGGTAGTGGACCCTTACTTGTCACAGCACTTAAGGCCCCATCAGAGGGAAGGGGTCGTGTTTCTTTATGAGTGCGTTATGGGGCTGAGGAATTTCAATGGGAATGGAGCCATTCTTGCGTAAGTATCGTTCAATAAAAGTATAAATTCAGAGGACCTTTCTTTCACAAGTCTTTTATAGGCCTTATCCTTTCCATCTGCATACCAGCATCTTAGAGAAATGTCATGCAGTTCTAACTGTTGAGTTACTATTACTTGCTACTGCTTGTTTTAAAAAAGAGTAGTATCTTTAATTTTCTCCCAAGGATTCATGTAAACTACGCTAAGTTTCCGGTCTTACTTCTATAGCTTAAGTCCTCTTTCCTCTAGCGCCCGGCTTGTCAGTGACGGATTCAGGGGAAGGGCCGGGGGACCCGGCCCCCTTTATCTCAGGGTCTGGATGACCCCCCCCCCCCCTTATCTGAAGGTCTGGATCCGCCACTGCTTGTCACTCGAGACCTAGTCTGCTACACAGCCGTTTTTAGTGTCGTCACGCAACGCTGTGGGGAGGAGCGTTGCGTGACGACACTAAAAACGGCTGTGTAGTAGACTACCCGAGACCCTGATAGAGACTGTCTGCGACGCAGACTACTTTCATCCTACCTGTCCTTAGTCAAATATACACCTACGGATTAGTATAAAATCTGTTGTGTTATCTCCTATTGTGTTTAGAGACGACATGGGACTTGGAAAAACTCTTCAGTGCATCTCTTTGCTGTGGTAAGTTGCTTAACGTATGGAAACTTACTTATTCTATGCAAACCCCATACTTCATTTCTGTGCAGGGCTAGATGAGTACTGTCCTGCTCTTGCAAGCTGTGAATGCAATTTTTGCCCCTTACAACTGTTAGAAGAGGCTAATCTTTTATATAAATACAGGATATTTTTTTATAGAAAAAATCCGCACGAGAGTTTTCGGCAGGTCACTAGAGTTGCCGACATAGCGCGAGACTCAAATCAAGCGAGAACATTGTTTTTGAACTCTCGCGAACTTTAGTTTTCTCTTGACCTGTTCGTTTTAAAACTCAGGGGCACAAATCGATTATGCTTTGTATCTCACTGCAGGACACTTTATAAACAGGGAATGTACGGAGGTCAACCCACACTCAAGAGAACTCTTATCGTCACTCCAGGCAGCCTAGTCAAAGTATATGCTCTTTTTGTATTTAAACAACAACAACAGCAATAACAACAACAAACAAAACAAACCAAAAACAAGATAGATGTATATCTTTCTAATGGTCGTCGTTGGCCCAATTCAGATTCATTCATGGGTTGGGCTGATATAACTAAAGGTCAGTAGACTAACCAGAATGTAGTGAAAACAAAAAGAAATTGTTTTGGCCAAAAAGCACTGTCAGTTGTGCATTTACGTTGGTAGTTTTCGATATTTGCATTCCAATTATCTTGCTGTAAGTTTATAGGTTAGTCGTACCTCTATTAGTCAGTAAAGTACGCCTAGATGTTAGTCAAATATGTCTTTAAGTTAGTCAAGTGGGTGTGTTTCTAGTTTGCGCTGCTTTCATCGCACAAACTAATCGTTAACATCCTTTTTCAGCCGTCACTTGCAAATCTCGGCTGTTACTTATGCCCAGTCGGAAGGTGGAGACGTATGACATTTCAGACTAACTTATGCTCAACGTTTTCTTCAATCCCTCATTTTGTTTTCAGAACTGGAGCTGCGAATTCCGGAAGTGGCTTGGCAACGAGAGATTGAAGGTGTACACGGTTACCTCAGAAAAAAGGGTCAAAGTAAGTTCCATTCGGCTGCCAAGATATACTTCAGTTACCTTACTCAAAGTACACACCTCTTCATTGGGCGAATAGCCCGATGACCGAAAAAGCTATGAAGTCAGCATTTTGTAAAAGGCAAGAATTGCAGAATTAGCTGGTGTCTGGCGTACAAATATAGGTGAAACATCAAGGTTGGTTGGTAATAATCTAATAATCGCGAAAGATGGTCATTTTTGGGCTCGATCTTGATACGAGAACTAAACACGAGCCCAAAGGAAACGAACCCAGTAGACTTTTACACACATTCTGGCCGCCCGCCCATAAACAACTCAACGTTACTCGTGTCTTGTGCGCATATTGTTTTCAAATGTCTTCTTCGACGCCTTACCCCATTCCACTAAGAAACGACTCTTGTTACTGACAAAATAAAGCTACCGTATATAGTAAACCATTTTCCCTTTCAGAACAACCACTTACTGCCTAAGCGAAACTATGTTGTGCAGGGAAGCGAGATTTTGCAAAGGCAGAGGGTCTTAAGACAGAGAACGGAGAGGGGGATACGCGTCGCCGAAGGGGAGGTGGGAGGGTCAAAAGTTATAACCCTGCTAAGAACGGCATTACTTGGCAAAATACACAGAAATCACGGGATGGCTTAAATTGGAAAAAAGGACTCCCCCGAGACTTCCATACGATTGTCTGTAATGCCCTGGGGCTAAGAGAATACCAGCATTGCGCTCAGTTAGAATCCATGGTTTTCCTAACAGTGAAAATATTGATAAAACTGTCGTTGAGCGACCTTACTCGATACGTAATTCGCCACTTTTGAGACGGAAAGGAAACTGGGTCGAGTTTACTTTCGCAAAGACTTCTGGGACTGTCACTAGCGACAGGAAAAAAATTGGCCAATAGCTGACAGGCGCGTCCCCAGTAACGATCCCATAAACCTTTGCTAGACCAATTCGGCACCAGTCTCCTTATCGTTTCTAAAATGGCAAATAAAGGGGACTTGACGGCAGTTTGAGAGGGCAAACTTTGTTCTATGCAACTTTTCAAAAAAGAATTTCTAGAACGTCCGGCTAATGCTTTGTTTCATCGTTTTTTTTTTTCTAAACTGGAGTGTTATGTCTGCAGGAGTTTATCAACAGCCCTATTTACCCAGTCATGATCATCAGCTATGAGATGTTTCTAAGGTCTGTGGAGGAGATCAGGAGCATCAAGTTTGGACTGGTCATCTGCGATGAAGCGCATCGCTTGAAAAACACTACAATAAAAACCGCCACGGTGAGAGCTTCTTGGTTTTTTTTTTTTTAGCCGTATCTCATAGTGAGAAGTGGGTTATACGTAGATTTAGCAGCTAAAACGCTAAGGGTTCCAAAACGGCGCGTACCTAAATCTCAGTAACATTACCATCCGGTAGTTTAGTTTGATTCCTTGTACTTTAAGCTCTCTACGACCACATTAAGGAGGTGGTGGTTTGAGCGACAAGTTGTTGTTGTTTTGTGTTTTTTTTTCTCGAAAAAGAACTATTTGTTGTATGGCTGAATCTGCGAGCGGGCGAGAAAAAGCGAATTCTGTGTTCTGATTGGCTACCCGAGCAGGCTAGATGGGCTTGGGATATCCCGCCTTGGTTCCGCAAGAAAAAGTTATCTTTTGGCCATACAATAAATTCTTTATTGACCAAGCTTGTTCAGTCAAAATAAATGTATGTTTAATTAGCTTCGTTTTCTTGCGTTTTTATTGACCGAGACGAAACGCAGAAAAAAAAACTGAAGAACTTGGCCAATATACAGCCATTTTGACCTCAAAAACGCATGTTTATTTTGATCTTACAGATGATTTCTGGACTAAAGACCAAGCGTAGGATTCTTCTCACAGGCACACCAATACAGGTGAGACATTTTACGTCAAGTTATTTACCGTACAAAGTGCCGTACGAATGGAGCAGCGGCCAGAAAATAAAAGCCATTTTTAACCCTATTTACTTTGTATGGATCAGTGTGACAAAAGAAGCGGTCAACCACATTGCAAACAAGTTTGAGCGCATCGCAATCCACTATTTATTCTAATCCGCGCCTCTCAGTCGTTGTTCTTAATCACCCCATTTTCATAAAACTTCGCGCAAAATTATCGAATACTGCTGTAATACTGCTTTAAGTTTAACTTTAGGCTTCTTTCTTCTCTGTGGTGTTTTTGGGGGCTTCTTTCATCCCTAAAAAATCTACCAATAAATCAATACTTTCTTTACCTTTACAGAATGATCTCAAGGAATTTCATTCTCTCATCGACCTTTGTAATCCAGGAATTCTAGGTAAGTTTTATTCCGCTAATCTGCGTTGTAACCTTGTTCCCAGGGCCCCTCTTCTCCCCGTTCTGTCTCACTCGCAGGTATAGTAACGTACTGTTACTGCTATTAGTAGGATTTTTTTCTCGCCACAAAGGTCCAATGATCAGTACCATATTTACTCAAATAAGCGCCACAGCGCTTATTAGATTTTTCAATCCTCAAGTGCGGCGCTTTTTCCAGGGCGGCGTTCATTTGAAAGTTGGGCGCGACAAAGAATTATATTAACTGCGGTATTATTATTTTCTGTGTTAAATTTTTTGATTATTACGGCCGCGACTCTTATTACCTTTTTTCTTCTAAATGCGTTGCTGATTCTGGGGCGGCGCGTATTCAAGTAACTATGGTACGTTATTTTGTCTTGGTATGTTGCTTGCTATTTATACTGGCGCAGCCTGCGTGGCAGGACTACGAAGGCCGTGGGAAAGGAAAAGGGTACGCTGCGTACAAACGTTTTCAGCGTGAAACAAGAGAAATAAGAGACGTCTCCACGCAGGCTAGGAAAAAGGGGAATATGGGCCCGTGACACCCTTCGCGTTTGCCTGCGGCCTGCACCAGCTGTTCGTACACTGTCTCCTTATTGGTTGCAGAAAGCACTAACACAACAATGTTTATCATTATTTCCATTGTTTTACCGTTTGGGTTGCAAACCAATTGGCTTTTAGGGTTAGGAGGGCTGCTACATGACTCGCCCGCACCCTACATCTTCCCTCCCTTTTGAATGCCTGTCACACAACTAATAGTAACATCGTTGGTCTAACGCAGTTCTTGGATACAAAATAGACAAAAAGTATAAGAAGGCCGCTTACTTATGTTGAAGAAACAATGACTTGTCTCTATCATTTTTCCTGTTTACAGGCACGCAGTCTTCTTTTCGTCGTTTATATGAGGAGCCTATCGTCCGTGGGCAACAACCTGACGCCACTAGTGAAGAAAAACTACTTGGCCAAACAAGAGCTGCCGAGGTAGACTAATAATGCTTAAAACTGCTTCCGGGATTTCTTTTTAATTTGATTAGGATGAAGTCAGAGCTGCCGCGGCAGAGAAACCTGGTTTTGTGATATTTACCTGGTCTGAACGAACAAATTGTCTGGCTGGTTCACTAGAGTGACGCAAATAGAGAAAGCAAGGGAAAGCACAGGAAATGATGTTCACACGTGCAACGCAAATGAATGCAAATGCGAGCACAGTGAAATACACGCAGCATCTGAGCATCCTGCATCCCTACATGGCGAAGGAATATCCAGTTTTTCATTGTGCATTTTTATTTGCGTTTGCGTTGTCGCGGTTCACACGTCCTGAAATGCAAACGCAGTTAGCCTTAAGACAAGTGTATGCGCCGACTCAAAAACTTGGTGCTTAAGTCGAGTTAGCTCACACGCGTGTTTTCTTGCGTTAGCGTTGCTCGTGTTTATATGCCCTTCGTTTTGTTCTTTTCCGATGCGTCACAGAATGGGTTTCGAAGCAGACCTAGTGCTACAAGAAATGAGACGTTCCAAGCGTGGATCAAAACTGATTTAGTCCGGAACCCTAAATGTCGCGTCTCTCAACGTTGAACGGTAGATGAGTTGGCTATTTTGAAGAGTTAATCGTGATGTTTCACCAAGTTTGGGTATACTGAAATAGGTAAAATGGTGATACGGTCTACAGAAGTAATCTTTACATATTCCTTTACGAACAAGACACGAATTTGTTTGTAAGGCTCCCTGTTTTCATAGTTTTTCCTTTCCGTTTTCTTGTTCACAGCTCAACAGGTTGACAAGTATGTTTTTCTTGAGAAGGACGTCAGAAGTGAATAGTCGCTACCTTCCTCCAAAAGGTACTTGAGAGAGCAACAATCTACCAGTATTAGGGTACTTACGACTTTAGGGCATTAGTGTATAGTTATACAGGGGAAGGATGGATCTTTGGACTCGCGACATTTCGAAAATTTGTTTCACATTAGTTGTATTTATACTAGAGTCGAAGAGAAGAAAGATCCGTCCGAGAGTAACGTAGAGAAATATTTTTTTAGGTCGTCCTGTATTTCGTCTCTACATCAATACGATCAAACAGCCGAATCGTCTATCTAGACTATTATCCGCGTTTAACTAACTCAGCCCGGAATATTTATCTCAACTAATGCCTGTCCGTATCTATACACAGAAGAATTGACCATTTTCACATAGACCATAATACACCTTGTCTACCCCCCCCCCAAAAGTTGTATAACCATTGTTTCCAGTCTCTCCTGGGTATTACAGTCGTCCCAAGAGAAATCGAAAACAATGGTTATGCAACAATGTTTTTTTTTGGGAGGGGGGGTGGAGGGGAGGGGGTAAACAAGGTGCCATATGGTCTAAAAACATGTAAACATGTATGGTCGATGTGAAATTGGTGAAATACAAGGTGTACTCTCTTTAGGTCGCACAGCACATCCTGTATTTATACCAGACTCGTTAACCGATAGTGTGAGTCGTAAATAACTAAGTGAGCCTCAATTTTTGTTTTTTCGCTCATTTGCAGTGGAATCCGTCGTATTCTGTCGACCTAGTCTTTTGCAGCTTTCTCTGTACCGTCATCTACTGACGTCACGCGTTGTGAGGTCATGTCTGACGTCATATTCATCCGAAGGTTCACGTCACTTATTGTGCATTGGTGCGCTAAAGAAGCTTTGCAATGATCCAAGTCTTATTTACTCTGACTGCCAAGAGGCAAATGAGGTGTCAGATAGCTGGGATATTGAGGAGGTAACTTACTTTGGTATTCAAAACTACCGCTAACCACTCCTCGCTTAACTCACGATGAGGTCAACTCTTTCTTTAACTGACACCTTTATATACGGGCTCCTAAAGTTGGTCCCTTTCTTCTTCAGTTATTTCTTACGACTCTTGCAAGCAGTCACCTCAGTCTCTAAAACGGACATTTAGGGTCCTATTTAAATATCTTTCTCAGCTTTTCTCTCAAGGAGGGGTGCCTCATTCCCATTAAGTTAAATCCGTTTCTTGAAGAGTTTGGGGCTCTTTTGTTCTAGCGATTTCACTCGCTTTTAAAAGGTCGGACTGGTTCCTGAATTGCATCAAACGAGGTTCTTTGATTATGCAAGATCTTTTTTGCGGGAAAACCTGCGGATGCGCATTAGGGGCTGACTAAAAGAATCGAGGAGTACCTAGAATGAAAGCTTTTCAAAGAAAAATCTCTCTATCATTCTTACTTTTGTCTGGCTAATCACCATACTATTTGTCCCTTTATCAACAGGAAGCTTCCCTGTATGAAGGGCTAGACCGTTCTTTTCCAGCAGATTATAATCCCGGTACCTTCACCACGGACCACTCAGGGAAGCTGCAAGTTCTTGGACACTTACTGTCTCACATGCATCGCTCAGGAGATAGAGTAGTTCTTGTATCAAATTATACCCAGGTGAGGTGTTTTAAATGTGCACTTTTAGGTAATACCAAATGTTACCATGCTGCCAGTTTACTGGATACCAAAAGTTAGAACCACACCGAATAGATGGTACCACGTGGAAGTACTGCTAAAGGGCTTCATTGTCAAGAATGGTAACACCATACGATTTCATCCACAGACTCAAAACTTAGTACTACTTACCAAATAAACAGTACCATGTGAATACTGCTAAAGAGGTTTCATTTGAAAGGTAACATCAAAGGATTTCATCCACAGACTCAAAAGTTAGTACTAAGGGCAGAATAAATAGCATCATGTGAAAGTACTGCTAAACGGTTTGAATGGTTACACCATAGGATTTCATCCAGACTTAAAAGTTAGAATTACTTACCGAATAATATGTAAACGTACTGCTAAAGAGTTTTCACTTGAATGGCCAAATTTCATGTCTCCACAAATTGACTCTGGAGGTTAAAGGATTGACTTCATGCATATATTAATTTAAGACCTTATATCCTGAATCCGTTGCTGTGGGATAAGCAGTTCAAATGTGACTCCTTAAAACTCCTCCTGATCTGTCTTACAGACTCTTGATTTACTTCAAAGACTTTGCGAACAAAGAGGTTATGAGTTTTTGAGACTGGACGGGAAAACACCGACAAGCAAACGACAGTCACTGGTGGACAGGTTCAACGATAAGCACTGCAAAATCTGTAAGTATATTTCGTACAGTGATAGTCACAGTGATATCTTTGTACGCTTAACACCATCAGGATTAGTTTTATTTTACCCAGTGCTTTAAGTTCAAGTTTTTTTTTTAAAGTCGCCATTTATAAATGGTCGCCATGCAGACGTAAAAAAAAGCTGTTCCCAGACGTAAAAATACCGTGAAAATAGACCATTTCAGACTTCTCCAGGCCTCTGTATCAAAACGCGGTTAAGTGCTCAGCCTTTTACATGGAAATGACCTTTCTTTCTCATGCACGTTAAACTCATTTTCACAAGAAAGGTTGTGCGCTTGGCCTCATTTTGAAAAAAAGGGTCTTTGGAACTCGGAAGTGGCCTATCGAATTTGGAGTTACACACGACATCTCAAGAGATGAATTATAAAGAAAATGAATGCATGATTAACATTTCAAAAAAGTGTTTATCTCACTTAACCTTTAGAAAGACTATAAACAATTATGAATACACTACGGCGTGGGTTATGACTGTTGAGGGCAGGTCGCCAAATTGGCAACTTGCGCGACAATTTTAGTCGCCTATTTTGTTAGTTGCCGAGGAGATCAAAATGGTCGCAGCTTGGAGCTCCGCTAGCTGTCTAATATAAAGTGTATACAGTGAACCCTAGTTAAGCGGGACACCCTCGAGATCACGTCTGCTATTCATGCCTTCAGTAAACTGTCTGTGCTGTGGCGAGGCACCCGCGGGATCAACTTGAGCTTTCACTTTATACATGTACAACTGCCACTACGCCATACATCCTTGGAACCACCTCTTTTGAGTAACAGTAGATCGAGATCACATGTGAGGGGTGAGCGGCGAAGGCGCGAAGAATGTGGGGGAAGCCCGAGCGAAGAAAAAATACTTTTTTCTCTCTCCACCCCAATCACTACTATACTTTTTCGCTCGGCCGCGCGTGCCTGTGAAGAAAAAAAGGACGACCGCTCGCTGTCTACATGCAATGCATGTATACACTGAAGTGTCTCTAAGCGGGAGACACTCGGGACCACCTCTAGCTTCTGTACATGATAATGAGAATAGGGCCTCAAAATATTAAGCAGTTTTAAACGATCACCTAGGCAAATCTCTAGTGTTGCTCTGTATCCAGTTCTCCGTCGGGAGTAGGCTCGGTGTAGACTTCTTCCATATCCTTTACTTTAAACGGCTGAGGTTTTTCTCGCGCTCGGTCGGCCGCAAGCCGACAAATCTTCGGCTGAAGACCGAGCCCACAACTATAAAAACTTGACCGGAACCGGAAACTGCTTATGAAAAGTCTCTGGCATCCAGGGTACAGGGAAATTGAATTCTCAATAGACCCGGAGACATGCGTTTCCCACAAGCGGAAAATCTCTTACAATGAGACTGTGATAGCGCAGAACATTTCCGCTAATATAACTTTGTTCTTTGTTATTTTTAGTCGTATTTCTTTTGAGTTCGAAAGCTGGCGGAGTTGGCTTAAATCTGATTGGTGCATCGAAGCTTATACTGTTTGATATTGACTGGAATCCAGCCAATGACATTCAGGTATGAAGAAAGATAACAAAATCATAGCTGAACATTCCGTGTTATTTATATTATTTTAACTCTGAGAAATTTCTGTTCTTTCCACTTTTCTATAACATATCAAGCTTTTCACTTGATAGTCAAACTAACAAATAACACGGGAAAGCTGAGCGAAAAAAAACCCGCGGGAACAAGGGAGAGGAAATCTGGGTATAGGGAAGTAGGACAAAGCTCCAAACTGGCTATTTTTATTTACTTTTATTACAATAATTATCAAGCATACATACACACACGGACTATAAACACCTATGCAATCACTACATCAGCTATGAACCTGCAATCAAAATTTTGTTTCCGTTACTTTGCTGGCCGCGTAAGTGAAGACTCATACGCGACGTGATACTCATCATGCATCCTTCATGCACTGGTTCTCGCTCGTGACCTCTCTGTTTTTCATGTCGTAGGAATAATTCGCGTTATTTGCTGTGTTTAAGTCAAACAAAGAGTTTACAATGTAAGACAAAGTCGTGGAAATGGGAAGCTGTAAACGTATAAGTTAAACAAAGAGTTTACAATCTAAGACAAAATCATGCACCGAAGCCTTGCACGGGCGGTCACGCGTAGAAAAGCTCATTCGGGAAAGGGAAACAATTTTTGGCTGATAGTTTTAAAAGTGAGATGGAGCGCAACTTATTTAACAAACAATTTATGGACATTGAACCATTAATTTGACATAGATTCTTTGGTTTAAAATCAGTTTTGATACCAATAACAACAGGTAAGTTTGGTTTTTCTGTGCATTTTGAACCAAACTGACCTATCTAAGGGCTTCTTCACGCCTTCTGAAAACGTCCGCGTGGGAGGCTACTTAGTCTGCTACACAACCGTTTTTAGTATCGTCACACAATGTTCCTCCCCACAAACGGCTGCTGTAAACCGAACTACATTCCTTTCCCTTTGTGTTTGTGGTCTAACGAACAAGCCAATCATGTACAAGAAGTTTGACAATACGTGAACCGCGGGGCGCTAGGAAGCGAGCACGCTTCTCAGTTTTCGACAAATCAATCAATCGTCGCTGAATTTAGACGGGCTCTGTGTTTTCAAGCAACGAAAAGGTTAATTTGCAAAAAAGTTGTTTTAAGCGGCCAAGAAAGTTCCAATTGAAAAAAAGGTTTGATAGGCCTAGAAGACTTTTACCAGGATCGGTTGGTTCTTCATTTAACGTGCATATGTACTGATACGTAATGAAGAATTTAAATGTGCCGGATGTGCTCATTGTGTTCCGGTGAAGACTAAACTCTCAAGGGTACTGATTCAAAAAGCAATCTTTTAAATTATCGATGAGCGATTTCCCGAACTATACCTGGCAACTTTATGAGCACATCCATGTTGTGCATCGCAATTTGCTCGACTTGCTTGCTGCTGCTGCAAATGTCCTAAATTTTAAATAGGACTCGACTACGACAACACTGCTCTAGTTAATTGCTTGTTTTCACGCGACGTTTTGATTATTCTGTCATTCACACATGGGGCACCGATAAAAGCAAAGCTGTGATTGGAGGAGTCACAGTACCGTAAACGTGGCGCGAACACCTTCCAGAAAATGGGAGCTGAATTATAATTGGCTAATCACGGGAAAGGAATGTAGTTCGGTTTTCAGCAGCCGTTAGTGGGGAGGAGCGTTGCGTTACAACACTAAAAACGGCTGTGTAGCAGACTAGAGGCTACTCAGCTAAAGAACTGAATTAATTTCATGCAAACAACAGAGACAACAGAGTAACCTGCGGATACAGGTAAAATGGGGTCTTTCGCGGGCCATGTTCTTCCAGGCTGTTTCTTTATAGCCTTTGGTTTGTGGTGGTGGTGCAATATAATGGTCTTGATCGCAAAAGCACATGCAAGATTTCTGAAAAGTCGTGACCCGCGAAGACCAAACATTGAATTTCAATTAGACTACGAAACATGTACTTGGCTTAAAGTTCCCGTACCGTACCTCAGGGCTTTTCCATTAGAGCCTTTCTTGAAAGTTACAGCTACTTCGGTGGGAATTATCGCTGAATTAACCAAGGGTGACTGGAGTTTGATAAACAGAAACAACCATTTTGCGCACTTGAACAATTTTGCTCATGCTTCAATGTTCGCTGCCTTTTTCCTTGCTGCTTTAGTGGAAATTCTACGTTTCTACTCATTTTTGTTCCTGCCTCCATCGGCGGAACACCTTCTATCTTCGCTGGCGTTCTTCGTCGTCGGTGAACTGTTTTACTTTCACATCGATGGGCGCTCTGTTCTGGATCAAAATCTCCATATATTTATTTACCTTTTAGCCTTTTCTATATCCATCGTTTTTCTACTCGAAGCCGGGTATCGCAAGTGTTTCATTTTATTTATGGCGCGCACAGTCTTGGTCGTGCTTCTGGGTACCTGGTTTATTCAAGTGGCACACGTCTTGTACGGAACAGACCCCTGGAAAGACACCGCTTCCAATCGAGCATTTGTTGCCATCGCCTTTACGTGGCACATCTTAGCACTGCTCTTCACAATTCTGTGCAGTCTTTTGCTGGTTAGCTTGTTTCTGAGGATTTTGTGTCGCTCATGCTGTGGCACATATTTGGCGGCCGATGGCAACGTGACACTAGACGCAACGGAACTCCGTAGTTTGATCAGGGAGAATGGGGTTGAGGACCCAACTCAAATAGACTGAAACATCAACACAAAGCCGCACACAATGAAAACTTTATAGTCTGTGGATACACAGACCCTGTGATGTAACAAGTGAAACGAACACTCTTCAACATTACTGTTACATATGGTTGTTTTTATTTAGTATGTAGTTCTAGCCTTTAAATCCTACGATGTTACCATTCAAATGAAGCCTCCTCAGAAGTACTTTAATGTGGTACTATTTATTTAGCTTGCACCCCTGTCAGTAGATGAAATCTTATGGTGTAAGTATGTAGGAACTTTATTTTAATTTGAAATTAGTAGCAAGATAACGCTAGTATATCTCTGAATACAAAATGTGTGACAGTAAAATAAAATAATCAACAATAAAGATATAGGTACAAAACTGTTTTATAAAATTGTTTCAATGATTATCTAAAAAAGTACTGTTTTTATAAAATTGTTTCTCTTCAGTTGTCTCTTCTTAATGGATTATCTAAAATGGCGATTATAATTTTTAAACGTTTCAAAAGTCCCTTTCATTTAAAGCATTAACGGTAGGTCGCCATTAATCTTTTTTTAAGAGAATTCTATACACTCTTTTTTTTTTAAAGAATATATTTTATAAGAATATCGATGGATAAAATAATAAAATAAAGCCAAGGCTGGGTTTTGAAAAATAGATATAATTTTGCGATTAAACATCTGTAAATACAATTTTTGTTTTTAACTTTATTCCTTTCAAACGGCGTTTAACCAACAAAACGAAAAAACCTGCACTAGCTATAGCGAAATGTTCAACGCTAATGTCAGTTCGATGAACGGTACATGTAATATATATACATATACCCCAATAAATTCTAAAACGGAAATGTCATAAGCTATAATTTAAGAATAATACAAGAATATTTTCAGCCTAAAATCGGCAGAAAAATAAGAATATTCAGCCTGGGCCGGAAAAACAATATTCTTATAAAAAAAAAAGAGTGTAGTAGAGCTTGATTTCCACTGACGCGTTTTTGGCTACGCACGTTAACGCACGTTAACGCACGTAAATATTAATCACGTAAATAAAATAGAGGCAAGATAAAAAGTGCTGAGTTTAAACGAGAAGTTGAGCGAGGTTCAACTTTTGCCCTTACGAGCGACCTTTCATGTATTGCCTCTATGATTTTATTTGCGAACGTAAATTTTACGCATGTACGCACGTAAAAATTACTCCACACTGAAAATCAACCCTAAGTAATGTTTAAAACACTGACCGCGAAAGTCTTGTCTGCTGTGTGAGTGGCCAATTTATTTAGCTGTAATTGTTACTGTAGTACCGCGGTTAGGTTAAAACACACTTTATTCACGACCGTTACACTCCGAACTCAGAACGCTAACCGACTCGAATAAATTACAACGCACGCTATCTATAGTACATGCAAATTACGTAATTCCCGTGTGTATTACATCACATTCATTCTCTCGCTTCTACGCGCTTGCATTAGCATCGTATACACTACATTCCCTTCTTTGATCAAATTTAGCAGGAAGGCAGTTTTTAAAGGCTGCAAAAACCCTAAATGTTCAGCAAAACAAAGTCTTTGAATTAAACTAGACAAAACAGGGGAAAAAAAAGAAGAAGTCCTAAACATCCAGGACAAAGTCTTTATAGCGCGCAGGCTGTCTTATAGTTCGGGTCGACCTCCGCACAGGCCTTTCCGCTGCGTTATCTTCCTTTTCGGTAGAGTGCCCAGCTTGTACTTGGGAATTTTCAGATACTCCTGTAGTCCCTGGAATTCCGCTTGGCCCTGATACCTCTGCCGTCTCCGGAACTCTGCTTGGCCCTGGCTCATCCGTCTGTACTGTAGAACTTGCTTGTACCACTTGGTCTTCGTTGCCATTGGATACACCATTGTGCTCGTTGTACTTCTTTACGAACGCAGTGTTCCTTTTCAGTTGCACACCAGCTTCGTTCCTAAGCGTTACCTCTGTTCCTGTCCTCTGAACCACCTTAAAAGGAGCAGGGTTGAAGTTGGTAGACAGCTTGTTCGTTTTTCGGCTTTCAAAAGTACCGTGTCACCAACACGTATGCTCTTGGGCGTGGCACCTCTCTTGAGATCTGCATAAGCTTTGCCCTTTAATTTACTTGACCAATCCCGCTCTCGCACTTCTTCGCCTGGCACCCCGACCGTCTCTCTCCTTAACTCTGGCAATTTGGACCTAACCTCGTGGCCAAACATCATGTAACAGGGGGTAGTCCCCGTCGTCGTTTGCGGAGTGGATCTGTACGCCATCAACCATACAAGCAATTCAGTTCTCCAGTTCTTTCCTTCTAAATGTGCAATCTGTAGACATTTAAGTAACGAGCGATTTTGGCGTTCCACCTCTCCATTAGCTTGAGGCCACAACGGCGTCGTTTTCCTGTGCTCAATACCATTTGTGCGTAAATATGCTTCAAATTCTTCGGATACGAACTGGGGCCCATTATCTGTCCTTAAAGAGAACGGAAAACCGAATCTGGCAAACATGGGTGCAAGTGCTTCGATGACCTTGGCACTTGTTGTAGACTTCAGAATAGCAACTTCTAAGAAACGACTGTAGTAATCGATCACCACCAAAACACTCTCTCCTGTGGGTAGGGGTCCCAGCAGGTCTGCTCCACAATCCTGCCAAGGAGCACTTGGAGGAAGAACGCGGGACATCGGCTCAGGAGGGTTAAATCCAGAAGTGACCTGGCAGCCATGACAAACTTTACAAAATTTCTCAACTTCCTTGTCCATTCCCGGCCACCAAACTTTACTACGGAGCCGATACTTCGTCTTCACTATACCCTGGTGCCCTTCGTGTGCCAGCCGCACCACCCTGTTGCGCAGGAGCTTGGGAACCACAATCCTTGTGCCGCGAAGCAATAGCTCACCATAGACGCATAATTCGTCCTTGACTTGTGCATACGAGGGAAGTGTACACCGGTCCCAGTCCCCTGACCTCACGCAACTCTTTACTATCGTCAATTCTTCGTCAAAATAGGAAGCTTCTTCAATTTCTGTAGGTGATAGAGCAACGGGTATACAGCTTATAGCAATGGCTCTGACAGAGTCGTAGTCTTCTCCATGGTCCACTTGATCCAAGGAGTTCAAACGGGACAACGCGTCGGCTATATTTGTCTTCCCTGGGCGGTACACCACTTTAAAATCGTACCCTTGTAGTCTTAAGACCCATCTCTCTATTCGGGCGCAAGGCTTTGAAGTGCGCGAGTAGACTTTGAAGTGCGCGGAATATTGGACAAGACCCATAAACGATCGCACTTCACTTGCGTCTTTGGGAGATCTAGCATCTCTTATAGCAGCAATCTTCTCTTCGGATGGGTTTATGCCGTCACTAGTCAGCTCGTGACCAAAGAACGTAAGCCTTGACAATCTAAACTCGCACTTGTCTCCGTTCACCGTCAACCCCACTTCACTCAGCCTACCTAACACCGCAAAAAGACGCTTGTCATGTTCCTCCACGTCACACCCATGAACAATGAGATCGTCCGCAATGTTCGCAACCCCAGCACAACCCCTTAACACATCTCTAATGATCTGCTGATATTTCTCCGGCGCCGACGTTACGCCAAACATCAACCGCTTGTAACGATAAAGCCCTCGATGCGTGACAAAGGTAGTGATGTGGCGACTTTCCTCACTGAGTAAAATCTGGTGAAAACCCCACTTGAGATCTATCTTGCTGAACACCGTACTACCATTCAAGTCGTGTAACAGCTCCTCAACGGTTGGAATTGGGTGACGCTGTCGGACGATTGCTTCATTTGCACGACGCATATCAACACAGACTCTTACGTCGCCATCGCCTTTGGGAACCACCACCAACGGCGAAATCCATCCTGACGGCCCCTCCGGCACTTCCTCTATTATGTCAAGCTCCAAAAGTTCATCCAGCTTTGCATCCACTTTCTCGCGTAACCCGAACGGTATCCTGCGTACATGCTGCGCTACAGGCTTCACCGACTCATCGATGTGTAGCTTAAGCTCGTAGCCCTTCAAAAGACCAACACCACTAAACAAGTGCTTGTATTTCTCTCTGACATCCCCGTCCGATCGCCCACCGTCAACACTGTTTGTCTGAAAAGGACCAATACGCAACAGTTACTCTACAAAAGTGCCAAAAAGTACCAGAGGGGGACACGGGGGTTTACGGTATGGAGCTTTTTTTCAAACGGTAATTTTGATTTTAATGTGCGGTATTGCGGTATCATCTAGCCCTGCGGCATGCGGTTTTTTATGCCTGTGGCTAACGGTATTCGATAAAAGAAGATCCTTCACGGTACAGTGGAACCCCGCTCTACGGACACCCGCTTTATACGGACAGTTTCGTTTGTCCCGACAAAAAGTTCATACATTTTCTCTAAAATTAACCCGCTTTATACGGACACCGGTTAATACGGACAACGGACACTTCTGGGTCCCGAGTCACAAACTCTTATGTATTGTCAACCCCGCTTTATGGACACTGGTACTGGTTATCTGCACACTGTCTATTTTCATTGTCACAATTATGTAATAATTGTAGACATTGTACCCTGTTCAAATAATGAAAGATTTTTGCGAGTGAATAAAATTTCATTACAGTACTAAAAAAAAAACAGTAACAAAGTAGCGTGACATATTTGATTTTGAAGTCTGTCTTTCCCCCGGTGTTTGACTCTTGTACTACGTTTAGTCTTTTAATGAAGTTTTCTGCCTCCTGTTACACACGTTTCACTTCCTTGGCTTTTTGTTGCAGTCATTGCTCTTAAAGTAAAGTCACAGACTTTTTCAAATGAATCACTGTCGTGCCTGTTTCAATAACAATACTACAGTACTTAAAAGATTTTACTCTGAGACTATGATAAATGATCGTGAGGTTTCTTTAAGATGAACTTGGTACTATTACAGTTAAGAAATTAAACAAAGTTTTCTCGTAAAACTGTCTCCTTTGGTCTTTATATCGATAAAACGGGCGTCGATAAAACCCGGAACATGGAACATCCCGGAACATTGCGGAACATCCCGGAACATGAAAAAATAAAAATAATTTTCATGAAAAAAAAAAAAAATATATATATATATATAAAATAAAATAATAATAATGACATAATTTTTGTAAAAATTAGTAATAACTTAAAATAACAAAGGAAAAACGAAAAATAATGAAATAATCAAGAAAAAGAAACTGGTATCCTCTCTGAGTATGAGAAAACAATATTTTGTCGCAACAAATTAAAATTTGTTGGGCGAGTGAGGGTTCATGAAATGACAGTAACGAGTGAAGGCTTGCTTCTAAATTCAAAATATATTAAAATGGGTCGCGAGGAGGTGGGTTTTTTAAGCTTTCCTCACACAGCTACCTGTTGTAATTGTTTGCCGTGAGTTAATCATTTGGCGGTTATCCATTTACGGTTCTGCAATGGTCGGAAATGTCGGTGCAGTATTTCATGTCAAGCCAAGTCGGTAAGTAGCTCATTTCAAGCCAACATATAGTCTCCTTATCTATAACCGACATTTGCTTACTTGGGGTGCTTTGCTTTACTTGAACATTAATTACTTACAGACTAGGCGGCTCTGTGAACTTAAGAAGAGTATAGGGGCTCCTGCTCGTAGTAGTTTCTATGCTGTTTACAGTAAGCATAATATTTCAGACGTCTCCTCGAGTCGCAAGAGGAGTTTGCGTGGAGACGGCTAAAATTCAGGCTAACTGATAACAGTTAGAAACTACCGCCGCTACCACTGCCACTGCAACTATTCACGGCGAATGTGAATCTTTAATTTAATTATCCAAGTCCAAAGCGACGAGCCCCTTAGCTCTTCTTAAGGTCGCAAAGCCGTAAATGGATAACCGTTAGACCGCATGGCAAACGTTCACAAGAGGTGTCTGTGTGACGAAAGCTTGAAAACCCTCTCCTCGCGACCCATTTTAATATATTTTGAATTTAGAAGCAAGCCTTCACTCATTACTGTCATTTGAATGGACCCTCACTCGCCCAAAAATATTGTTTTCTCATACTCGGAGATGATACCAGTTTCTTTTTCTTTCTTTCTTTCTTTGTTTGCTTCTTTATTTTTCGTTTTTATGTTATGTTATGTTATTTATTTTGTTATTATAAATTTTTGCAAAAATTGTTTTCTATCTATTGTTCCTTTTATTATTTATTATTTATTATTATTATTATTATTATTACTTAATTTATTAATTATTTTTTATAAAAAAAATTTTTAATTTTTTCATGTTCCGGTATGTTCCATGTTCAGGGTTTTATCGACGCCCGATAATATGGACACTATGGCATGTCCCCTTGGTGTCCGTATTAACCGGGTTCCACTGTATTGCGGTACCGTTCATTAGCGTTCTCCTTTCTAATGCAGGTCAATATTCGAAAGCGTTACTTTACAAAATTTTTGACAGTTAATCTACAATGGAATTGTTGTTGCATCCAATGACCGGGCTTTTCGATCGTTGGACCGATAACATCGAGGTCTTCTCACGTTATCTCGCAATGGCTGAGCTTGATTTCTGGTGCATACCGTATTTATTCGATTAACCGCCCGGGGCGCTTTTTAAATTTTTGGGCCTTGAGAGTGGGCGCTTATTCGAGGCTGGGCGCTTGTTAAATTTTCATCATTCTCAGCAAGTGTAGTAGTATATTTGCAACAAAACAGTAAATGGTACGAACAAAAAGCGAAGATATGAAAAGCAAGGTTTGTGTAAAATACTCTGAAGAAAACTCCGTCTTCGGGGGGGTCTCTTGTTATCTCTCATTGCCGAAACCAATTGTGGAATTGCACGCATTTTAGGCATCCTACTGATGAACAGTTGGGACACGTAGATATATTTTTTAGCAACTACTATAATTTGCAGTGTCTACTTTGAGTTGGAGTTTTTGTGGGAGGGAGAGGGGTGGGGTGGGGTGGGCGCTTATTCGAGGCTGGGCGCTTATTAACTTTTTCTGCCTTTAGCATGGGCGCTTATTCGAGGTGGGCGCTAATTCGAGGTTGGGCGCTTATTCGAATAAATACGGTACATGCTTGAGATAAACAGACACGCGGGATGGATATAACTTTAAGTAACCGTGACCGATCATAAATGCGGTATCGGTATTTCGTCTATTTTCGACACGGTATTTCAGGTATTTGCCAATTTTTCTTACTGTATTGCAGTATTGGGTACCCCCAATGTCCGCCTTGTACAACAATACCGACGGAGAGGCAGCGTAAAGGCCCGATAATTTGTTCAAAACAGGGTTAAGATAACCCAGGGTTAGTGCGAAATTTGAATTCAGATATGAAAGCTTAAAAAGCAAATTCAGTTTTATTCTTTTTTCCTACAATTTGATGATTGGATGCTCTAAAAAGAATAGAGAAACTTATCCGGGAAAATGCTTTTGAAAAGAAAAAGAAACCCAGGTTAAAATTTAACCCTGGGTTAGCACTAATCGGCCTTCGAACAACTGGGCCCACTGATGTTTATGCCCAACAATTCTACACCGCCGTGTACATTGATTACAATCAAGAGAGGATATTATCATCTCTTGTTACAATATCGGTCACAACAAAGTTTTATCTTTCCAAGAGTCATTACCAGGATTTGAAGTGCGACGGTAAACTCGCTCTTAGGTCTTTCACTCAATATGATCCTAGGCTATTCACTGATGAAATCCCTTACTAACTATTACTACTTTCATTTGTACTGTTTGAGTCTGTGAATGAACCTATGGTGTGACCATGCAAATGAGACCACTTCGTCAGCAGTACTTGAACTCTTTACATTGGTTCTATTTGTTTCTCGATAGTTCGTCAACAATAAAGCGCAAACAGCCAGCGAGCAAGCTTTCCATTCGGGTGACGTCGTGAGAAGTCAAGTACGAGCGACACATACGTTTTCACTCGCCCCACGATATGGAGAGCTTACTCGAAGCCTCAGTAATGCGCTAGTTGATTGAGAAGCGCGTTAATCGCGTGCTTACGTAAGGTTTATCTCGGATAATAGAGAACTTAATCAACAGCGTTTTTGAGCGACGGACGTAAACCGGAAGTGGACTTTTTGCATCGCTGGGAAGTGGTTTGGTTGATACTCTGGGGTAAATCGTCTTTATAAGAGAAAAGAAACTAAGCAATACAAATTTGTTAGCATCAAGGCATATAAAAAGAGAGAAAGCCTCACTTCCGGTTGACGTGTGTCGCTCAAACACGTCCTCGCTTAAGTATTATTTAAGTGACGCTATGTGTGTTTTTTTTCTCGATCACTGCAGGCCATGGCAAGAGTGTGGAGAGATGGACAGAAGAAGACAGTGTACATTTATCGTCTTTTAACAACGGTGATTGCTCTGGAATTTCTGATGGCAAATTAAAACACAAATTTGACCTTAGCTCAGATAGTTGGCTGGGGCGGTGCAAAGAAAAGCGAGCGGGGAAAAAACAACGAAGGAGTGCCGCTTTTCCCCCTCCGCTCTGCTCTTTGCGCCACTCTCCATTGTCTGAACGCCTGGAACAGGCCATTTTGAATGAAGAGAAGGGCTGATTCACACTGAGACGTTTTTCGTGTTCGACAAGATAGAAATACAGCAAAACTTATGATTCTGACGATGATTTGCAAAATAATATGGAACACCATCAAAGAATATCAATAAAACAGAAACCAAATGTTCCAACATGAATGTTAACAACACAAATGTACAAGAGAACAGCGAGTAACTCAGTTTGTAAATAGTTCACTCCAATGAAAGTGGTCGTTGTGGGGAGGTTAAGGACTGCTGCGCTGACTTAAGTAGCCGTTGCCGATGTTGAGATTCGACTGTATGCATTTCCATGGTCTTTTTTTGCCTTTGGTTATTATTTTTTGTAATGTCCCGTGTTCAAGGCTTCCTTCAGGTCTTTATATTTTGCATTGAGCCCCAGTCTTTTGGAGTAGGCTACCTGCACTAAGAGGTCACGTCACCAATGCTTCCTTTAAACAATGAGTTGGAATCTTGCTGATGCTAAAAATTGACAGAGCCCATAAAAATTATCTTACACCCGAAATTTGAGAGGAAATGCATTCAAGGGGGATATTTTAGAGCACTTTGATTTCTCAACAAAGTAGTATGATTTGTATTGGCTGCCATGTTGGAGGGCATACTCTTGCCCTCCAACATGTTTGCAAAACTACTTTTTGCTTCTATCTTGTTAAACGTTTGGTAGTTAGGTTCAGATGTGCTGTGAATGTTACCACATCATCTTTTCAACAATTTCCTTGAAGTTTAAGTGCAAAATTTCTCTTCAGAAAGAGGTAATTCATAGTTTTAAATATCACATTTTGGTCACGTGACCAGCTACGAACTTACTCATTTTAAAAAAAATGGTGCAGGTTTGAAAAACTAAATCACTATTATTTTGTTTAAGATATGACCCACTAATGGTTTTTTGAAGGCAAAATCATATAGCTTTTATTTTCATAAAAATGATGTCACATGACCTCTTAGTGCAAATGGCCTATTGTTCGTCACTCGGTGACATCAAGCATCTGTTGCTTTTGTAGGGAACCATTGAAGAGAAGATTTACCAGCGTCAAACTGCTAAGCAAGGTCTGAGCGGAACAGTAGCCGATGCCAAGGAGAAGGTGAAGGTTGAATTCTCACGGGACGACTTAAAGGTCAGCATCCAATCCGATCGGCTATTTCTAACCTTTGTGTCCTCTGTCAGGTTAAAATCCTAACGCGTTTTGTGGTAAGAGCCACAGAACATTACCTTGTTAGTGAATAGCACTTTCCTTTCGTCTTGTTTATTATGCCCTACAAGTTGGCTCTATCTTTCGAGGTTTTATATAAAAGCCTTAAGTGTGTGCGGTACTTCGTTATGTTACTTTTAATTTTGCTTCATTAGGTAGACCCCCCTTTTATTCTTACGTATGAAATCCTTTTTTAAAACATGGCCATGGATCGATTTTTCTGGAATTGACCTCGTACGGACTCTCAACTCAACTCAACTCAACTCAACTGTTTATTAATTATGACAAATTTTACAGAAAGCAATATCCACTGCCCGCAATTAGCTGATTAGCTATCACTCTTTTTAAGTTCAAAAAGAGAAAGGAAAATTTGTCGTCGCCCATATACGCAAACTAAAATACATATGTTTTTGTATTTCCTGAAATCATTTTTATCACTAAACCAGGATAACTGATAAATCTTTTGCATTATATTGGTGTCTTTACCCATTTTCGCCCTTTGCTTATAACCTCCTTGATGGCGTCACTGTTGTACCTTTTTTCCGTAAACATTGTACCTTTCCGATAACACTACAGATGTAAATAAAACAACTAATTTACCGCATTTTCCTTCGTATTTATTTACTGAAAATGTTCTGCGGAAAACGTAGGAAATACCATTTCTGAGCCCCTAAATATGAAAAATTTTCTTGGAGAACATGCCCCCCAGACCACCTAGTTTCTAGTACCTTCGGAGGTCCAATCTTTCTCTCCGTGCGTACACCTTCAAAACCTCACGCTACGCCCCTGTCCAGGTCCTCTATAAAACGTTGTATCATGAATTTTTCACGTCGAAGTCGTTCAGTTGTAGTCAAAGAATTCTACCAAAAAGTGTGATGAGTGTAAACAGCTGTTCATATAACCCGTCGTCGTGGTTGCTTTAGCTCCCTAATATATTCACCAACAATAGCCCACGTTCGATATACAGTAAAACTCCACCTATAAGAACCTAGATTTTTCCAAGTCAACCTGAACAGGTTCTTATATAAAAGATGCCTAACTTGAAATCGGTCTATCTAGGTTCTTAAATGGGTTCTTAATTTTTGGTGAGAAAAAAAGTATTTGTATTGTTGGGAATGGCCTTTTATATTAAATTGTACACACATTTTCATGCTAGTTACGTGGAATATAGTAGAGTGCATATAAATCATACAAAATAGTGCTAAGTTATGCTCATGTTATTGTTTTCTATTGTACTTTGTAAATAAAGAACCTACTTTGACATTTCGACCTGAAATGGTTCTTTTGTGAAGGGTGCTCAACATGAAAATTTCAGCCTGATAGGTTCTTAAATTTTAGGTTCTTTTACTTAGGGTTTTTACTGTATATAAATTCTAACATGACTCCGAGGCTTTAGGGTCAAAATTGCAATTTTTTTATGCGACTCCGTTGTCTCGCAATTCCCAGAAGAGACTTGAGCACAAAGAAAACCAAACCGCCAAATTTTGAAAAATGACCAGAAAGCCTCAGAGTCATGTTAGAATTTTAATATATCGAACGTGGACTATTTTCAGAATATTGATGTCTTGTTTCCAACTCATAGGACTTGTTCACTCTTCATGAAAACAGTTTATGTCTGACGCATGATCTCCTGCAGTGCACGTGTATGGCGTCTGAGGTGGGTATCTCCAGTAATGTTTAATGTTGGAACGGGCCTATCAATGTGGGGCGTTTTTGAACAAGAAATGAGATACGAATTCGTTTAAACGATGATAAAAATGTTCTCTGGTGCCGTTTTTTTTTTTTTTTTTTGAATAAGCTTAAACTTCTCTAACCGTTTATTGAGGAGTAAATTTCGAGAGAATCAGTCGTTTAACCGTTTTTTTTTCTTAGACTATCGTTCGCTTTGCGTTCGGAATAAAAAAGCTGGGCTTTTGGGCACTGCATTCATCTATGCTTCGTGAAAAGTCCCATACAGGCAATTTATTTTTTTCAGTTCTAATCTTCCTCACTGTTTTACCTACTTTCTTTTCCCTTCTTTTTGTCTTTTTGAATATCCCGCTATAAATAGTCTCAGTTTGATGCGATTCAGGTCGGTAGTGATCCTTAGTCTGTTAAAGGGAACCTCCACTTCAACAAAAAGATAACTTTAAATCACAGGAAATAACTGTTACAGTCAAGTCAATCTAAAATAATTTTAAAGAAAGCGTTTGTATCCGAAAGAAATAACTTTTAGATTCGCCTATTTTTGTTTTCAAATTTTGCGGGCGTCGCCATCTTGAATAATTGTGACGTGTAATGGTTGCCCTATTGTTATTAAACAAAAGCTCTTTGTGTCAGAACAATAGAGCAACCATAACGCGTCACAATTATTCAAGATGGCGGCGCCCGCGAAATTTGAAAGTGAAAATAAGCGATTTTAAAATTCACTTTTCCTGATATAAACACTTTTTTAAAGACAAATTTCAAACAAATTTGTTTATCAACATAATTTTATTCGATTTAAACTTATTCTGTAGTAAGAGTGGAGGTTCCCTTTAACAGGCTGGTCTGTTAAGTTGGTAAATTCGAGTTACGATCATTATGATTACATTTTCAGCGTTATGTGGATAATACCGGAATACTATCTTCATTGCGCTAAATTATCTTTGTCTTGTTCTCTTTGATAAATCTTTTAAGGCAGTTTGACCTTCCTTTCTCTCCTTCCCATTGTTGTTTAAGATAACGTCCGACCACTAAAACTTATGTCGGGCATGAAAAGTGGGAGCTGATTCTAATCATTCATGAAATGAACTGCAATTCGGCAAATTCTGAGGTGCAAGATTACGAACAGTTCTCTCCACTACTAAATTGCATGCTTATTGGGCATGTTGGAGAATAATCCATCGCTATTACTTCAGAATCACATTTTGCTTTTCAAGTTGTTCTCCTGCGGCAATTGATGAGCTTTGGGAACAAAAAGACTCGTTTCCAGAGCCCTTTGTTTCTTCCTTCCGCATGGTTGATAAAACCGATGGAGTCCTGGGTGCTGTCTGTCGTTGCCGGTGCAGCGTTTGCATCTTTCATTAATTCTTACGATGAGGAGCGACGTAGTCACAGTGAATAAAAAAGGTATTGGATTCTAAGGTAAGCGCACACGAAAAAATTTATAGATAACTTTGAATTTGTATTTGTTATTTATTCGCACTCAACGTTTGTAGTGTATATTGTTTGCATAACCTGATATAAACACGAGAGGGGTTGGGAGAATTCGAGACAGTTATGCAAACCCGAGACGAAGTCGAGGGTTTGCATAACCGTCGAGAATTCTCCCAACACCTCGAGTGTTTATATCAGGCTATGCAAACACAGGAAAAAGTTTTCTATTGCTTTTATGAAATAACTTTCACGAGAAAAAACGCAAAACTTTATGTATGGCACTGATTAAAAGAGAAATTCTTACCAGTCGCAAAATCTTGTCCACGAAGTCTTGCATGCGTAATCAGTTCTTGTTTTGCAAAAAGATGCTTTGCAAAATACGGATTTTTCTCGCTCAGAATGCCGGCTTAAGCAAAGAAAAATTGACTCACCTTCTTTGAAACGATTTTCCATGTTTCAGCCGACGAAGGAATGGGTAAATAAAGTAAACTTGTCGAGTTTTGAACTCGAAAACTTTTTCAAATTCGTGCTTGCGTGATTAGCGCGCGAAAAGCCAAAGAACTTGACGCCACAACCATGTTTACATACTCTCATGCAAACACTTCTCTCGGCCAATCAGAGCGCGCGTACTATCTTAGTTATTTTATAAATAGTAGTAGCTTATTTAAATTGAAAATTTAATCAGTGTTATATTGCCGGAATCTTGGTTTTGTAATGAAATTAGAGTACTATGAGAAAAATTGACTCGTAAGTTGTCTTTCTTTCCAGGATAGTGCAGATAACAATGTACGACGTTTACGTAACCAATAATTCCAAAGAAGTTGTCTATGTGAGGTTGAAGTCTCAAGAAATTTCTTCTATAAACCCAACGTTTCATCAAGAATTACACAAGCTGGTGAGAAAGGGCAGCACGGATGAATCCTACATACAGACATTCTTAGTACGATATGGTTTTAAGTTGATTCCTTATGGCGAGACGCTGTCTTTTTCAGCTGTGGCTTGTAGCGGTAGAGGTGTAACCCGCATCCTGTACGCTTCTTTGTATGCCCGGTCAGAATTGTGGGCTATGGATGAAGAAATCGATTTCCTCAGATTTGGATGCCTGTTTGTCAGAAGTCATTTTGTGTCGGTACGTAAAACTAGTTTTAGTTTTAGACAAGTTAACCCTGAGCCAGTTTGGATTGGAGCACAAAGGGGTGATCCCGTTCCGCGAAATATCATTAAAGCATCCAGCGGTTTGGAAACAGAGTATTTTGGTCGGACGAAGTATGGCGAGGTATGTGGTGTGTCTATTACCGCAAATAATAAGTGCAGCAAGTGGAATAGAAGTGTCGGGACTGCTGACACATCTGGTGATATCCTGAAAAATACTGGCCATCAACTATATCGAGTTAAAATTGGTGATCCCGTGCCTCCTAACGCTGTGATTGTTGGTTTAAGTAGTTCTCTTGGGTCGCTCTACCTAGGGAGAGTTGGTGGTAAAGTGCCGTGCTCAGTCAGCGCGGTGGATGGAAAAATTAAACATTTTCTCCGGGCTAACAACGTAGAACGACATGGAACTGCGAGTGGTGAAATCCTTGTTCTGACAAACGGCATTACTGCTTGATTTTTCGTGGAAGCTTAATGTTATCTGAAGTGAAACGTTGACAGTATTTGCATTAGAGACAAACAAGACAATTTGAATGCCAAGATGTGTATTATTTGACTCGAGTTACCGTTTAGACAAGAATTGTTATAAGACTTTTAGTCATGAATTTTTTTATACCTTTTGATGGTAGGGAAAATTTATTAATTTTAGCTCGTTGTAGTAAGACAAAGAAGTCAAGCGTGGAAATGGAAGTTTAGATTGAATTTTGTTATTTTTATCTCAAGTACGCCCAGTGTTCTTCGGCATTAATCAAAACACTGAATATTTCTGCGTCTTAATTTGATTGAAAACATTTGACTCTATGGACATTGTCGCGAAAGTTATGTACCAAGCAATGTTCAATAATAGTTTAAACAACTTTTAGTTGCCCTCGCCGTGATAGTAGATGTCAATACGGAAGCCGCAGTGACTTGTAAATAGCCGAATTTAGATCAACTTAGATCAATGTTTGGTGGACCTGAATCTACACTAGAGCCACGTTGCCAGCTAATAAAAGTGGCTAAACTCAGTTTGCTAGGTTTTGAATCCTTTCCATTCATTTAGATGTTATTTAAGGCTAGCTGCAGATATAATACTCAAATTTGGCAAGGACAGAATATATTTACAAGACTATACATTCATTTGATTAAACGTAACATTTTCATAGTTTCCATGGCAACCTGGATGAGTTAAAACAAGCCTAAAATGTTACCTTTGGTAGATTTTTACGAATAAACCTGTTATTAGATTTCCTTATAAATTTGCACACAGCTTATAATTAATAACCCTCATTTTTTAAAAACAACT